TGCACTTCAAATTTTTTTTGATACTACATTATTATTATTTCTTAAAAAAATGGCACTACAAAACTTATGAATATTTTTCGATAGTTCTATATAAATATTTTTTGTGAAACAACATTACAATAGTTGTGAAAATAACACAACAATTTTTTTCTCTAAAATAGAACTTTTATTTTTATAACTCACTACATTTTCTGATGTATTGCAATTTTTCCATGAACACTCTGAAATATTTATTGATAATCTTATATTGCAATAAAACTTTCTTTCTAAAATGGAACTACCCAATTTGTGATTTTTTTAATAATTCAATACAAATTTTTCCCCAAAATAGTAATTCAAAAGTTGTGAAAATGACACAATATTTTTTTCTCCGAAACGGAACCCATAAATTTTATAAATCACTACAATTTTTTTTATTGTAATTTCTTTCTTGATCGATACTCTGAATTATTTTTGATAATTCAATACTATATTTTCCCAAAACAATTAACAAAATTTGTTAATCGTTAGACAAATCTCTAACAAGAGTGTATTGTTATATTTTTAAAAATATTAATTTTAAATTCAAAACTAAAAAAGTAAAAAGTAAATTTTTCTAAAATAATCCCACCTTTCATTTATTTGCAAAAAACAGGCATTTTCAAAAACTTCCGTTAAGTGGCCGTTAGTTTTTTAACGGTGACCCAAAACTCGCACATATGCAAAAAGGTGGGATTATTTCCGGTGACAGTGAAAAGTTGGATTATTTTTGAAAGAGCGCGAAAAGGTGGGATTATTTGAGATAATTTTTCCTAAAATGAATTAAAAAACTTTAAAATTTTACTTCGTTTTGCATAAAGGGTAAATGATTCAGGAACAGAGGTAGTATTATAACTAAATACGGAGTATATATTTTCCGTAGTCACATCTATATTTTGTTTCTTGGACGATCATTGATACTTAGATCCGAGTCTGTCTTCTTGCCGTCATTAGTCATGTCTTGTGGGAACCATTAGCAAAAAAAGGTATAATTTGGTTTCCCTCGCTCATATTTATCAACTTCGTGATAAGATACATACTCTTGGGAAAATAATTTTAGGACGAAAGGATTAGAGTACATTACATATCAAGAAAAATTCAAATAATGGTTAAGAAAATTTATAGAACGTGGAGTATTAAACATATAGAGTTATTTCCAACGTCACGCGCATAGTAGCTACAGAGAGCTTGATCGAGATATCCTAAGAGAAAAATTTAAATAAATTTACAGTCATATTTATAACACAGAGAATAATTTCAAATACAAACATGTGGTACCTTACACATTTTTTTAATCTCTTCAAACATTGAGAGTTAATGTCTTATGATAAAGATTAAGTTCAAAGTGACATGATTCCAATTATTGTGAATTGGGAATAAGAAATCGTTAAAATCAAAGAGGAGAATTGATTCGATCATAACGTCCCTTGATCATATTATCAACTTCTTTCACGAATGTTTCCATTGCAGAGGCCGGCAAGCGAACCGGAACCACTGTTCCATTCTTGGATGGTATCAGGTAGCTAGAAACGTCCCGGATGGCAACCGGCCCGCCGTAAACCGGTTTGCCCCACCCGAAATCCACCTCACCGAACCCGGCCCTCTTCAGGTCGGAAACCATGTAAGTCCTCACCACCGTGTAACGCGGCCGCCCCTTGGCCACCATCAGCTCCGCCACCGACCTCATGTACTCTTCGCCCACCACCGCTTTGGTCTTCCTGACCACCTCCACCGCGTATCCCAGTGGCTTCTTCGTCAGATCCCCGGCGGCGGCCACCGCCGCCGGTAAGCCCACCGCGTTGCCGTAGTACCCCGGAGGTAAGGGGGGATTGAATCTGGACCGGGCGTCCACTACGCAGATAAGACGCACCTCCTCGTCCGGGTCGGGTCGGAGGGCGACGGTGCGGCACCGCCACAGGCACGCCGTGAGCACGTCGAAGGTGGTGCACTGCCGTAAGTGGACGGGGAGCAGCCGCCGGAGAGCGGTTATCTCTGCCTCCCCGAAGAAGAAGGAACGCTCCGCCATGTTGTCAGGGCAGGCGAGAACGGTCCCCTTGGAATCTGGAAATTGATCGTACTCGCGGTGAGCGTGCGTGGGCATCAGGCGCGGAGGTTTCGGGGCGTCCAGCAATTCCCTCTGCCACACCGGCATCACGGACGGTTCCCGAGCGCCGCGCGCTATTTCCGCAACGGCGGTCATGAACTGGACCAGACCTGACGCGTCGCTCATTGTGTGGTTCAAACGCACTGCAAAGGTGTACCCACCGCAACTCAAGCGAGTGACCTACAAAAAAAATTAGTCTTACCAAAATAAACTTTTCCATTCGTTTTTTCTTTGTTCCCAAATAAACTTTTATTTTCTCTTAAAAAACCCCTTTTACCCCTTACTTTTTCATACCCTAACTAATTAATGCTAGACCCTTATATATACTCCATCCATCCTATATCTTTCTTCCCAAAGCACTATTCCAACTTCACGGGAATTTATATTTATTTGTGTTTTTTCATGACATATATGATAAAATATTTTTGTCACCACTTGTTTTGTTGAACTTTTGATGTAGTTTTTAAATATGTATGTTTTATTTTTTATTTCTATACCAATATTTAAATAAAATAGATTGAAAAAACTTAGAATTTTTCTTCGTTTTGTGCAACGGGAAGAAAGATATAGGACGGAGGGAATGTGTGTATGTGTGTGTGTGTGTGTGTGTATATATATATATATATATATATATGTTGTGGTGAGAATGAGATCTTATAAAAGAAATAATATTCGATTATGGGGTATTGGATGAATGCTTTACACCCTTTTATTATCGGAATAAAATAGGAGCATGCATGTATTTTCTCAATTCAAAAGTTACTCTCGGCAAAATTAGTGCTTGAAGATTACAAATCATAAGTGAGGCAACTGTAGGGATTGGATTGATGGGTCACTTCTTTACCTTTTTAATGGGTTAGAATGTTTAATAGCCTTTGATATAAAATTAATCCAGTAATTCCTTGCCTTATTAAACTCAATGTTTTAAAACCGGGTTAGACATCAGCCCTGACGAGTGACTGGATCAAGGGTTGATCGATCGAATTGGCCTATTCGGGGGTCAAGGACCCGGTCAAATATATTAAATATAATAATACTTTATATTACTCCGTATATTGTTAGATATTTTTAGTTAATAAAAATATTTTTACTTATGTTTTTTCTTTCTAGAAAAAACTTAAATTTTTTACTTATTCATCTAGTTTTTAAAATCATTGTGCATATACTATTTCACAATTTATATTTTTATTTTATTCTTTTCGTTGTTATTAAAAGTGAGTCACAGGTAATAGTGAATGTCTAACAAATACTTAAACAATAAACCAATACTCATTTTTTTCAAAAAAACTACTCCGTATAAAGTTTTAGGTATAAACTATTTATACTTAATTTTAGATAAAAAATAATGCCAAATATAATTTTCTAAATTTATGTTTTTTCTCTAATTCTATATATATTTCTACTATAATTAATAGATATTTCTTGATTTTTATAAATGACAACTTTTTTTAGATAAACTCCATCATTGGTCCTTCAACTTTATCAATTGTGCACGATTGGTCCTTCAAGTTTTAAAAGTTCATAAATAGTTCTTCAACTTTATGAGTTATGCACGATTGGTCCTTCAAGTTTTAAAAGTGCATAAATAGTCCTTCAAGTACATGTCAGCCCTCCAGATGAGGTCCTTTTGACAGTAAATGTTAAAAATTAAATGGAATACTAGCTCCATATAATATGGAGTAGTCGTAACTAGTGGAATTTACTCGTATTATATGAAACTAGTATTTCGTTTAACTTTTAATATTTACGGTCAAAAGGACTTCATATGGAGGGCTGACGTGTACCTAAAGGACTACTTATGGACTTTTGAACTTTAAAGACCAATGGTGCAGAACTCATAAAGTTGAAAGACTATTTATGAATTTTTGAAACTTGAAAGACCAATCGTGCACAACTGATAAAGTTAAAGACCAATGGTGGATTTTAGCCTATAAAGTATTCAGCATTATTTTAAAATAAAAGATAAATAGCCTTAATTCTCTACCTTTATTGATTTTAAAATTATGAAATGACGTCAACAAAATTTAAAATTATAATATAAGAGCACCAACAACGGCGTTCCAAAATACTGCCACGCCTTGCCACATCAGCATGTGGTAGCGTGGCGCGATGCATTTCTTAGGCGTTCCACCCCACTCCCCGTTCCATCTGTGAGGCATTCTTTCCGATTTTTTATTTTTTTTTTCTTATTTTTTTGAGAAGGAAGAACAATTTTTTTTTATAGATAAGCTTGGAGAGCAGATCTGGAAGAGAAAGATAGGTGGCGCCGACTAGGGAAGAGAAGGATTGGTGAGCAGATCTGGAATTTTTTCTTGGAGAGCAGATCTGGAATTTTTTTCTTTGTTTATTTATTTTTATTTTCTTTAATTATGATTTTAGAATTATTAGATTCAATAATTATGAGTATGAATTTAGATATCAAATAGTTCATATTGAATTTAAAAAGATAATAAAAAAAATTTCTTGGAGAGCAAATCTGGATTTTTTTCTTTGATTATTTATTTTTATTTTCTTTAATTATGATTTTAGAATTATTTAATTCAAAAATTTTCTTGGAGAGCAAATCTGGATATTTTTCTTTGATTATTTATTTTTATTTTCTTTAATTATGATTTTAGAATTATTAAATTCAATAATTACGAGTATGAATTTAGATATCAAATAGTTCATATTGAATTTAAAAAGGTAGTAAAATTGTTTTTTCTAATAAAAAATATGACTAAAATAATTTTTAATAAAGAAAGTAAATTACAAAAGAACAAACACAATGACTTGCCACTGTACAACGTTCCACTCCACTCACTTGCCACTGTATGACGGGATTGTTTCTGATTGGTTAAAAAAAATCATGTCAACATGTGGCATTTTAGTTTTAACTTGCCATTGTTCATGCTCTATAGAAGGGGTGTACAGTAATAAATAAAGCAACTAAGCAAGTGTACCTGAATGAGAAGCAAAGGGCAGTTGAGAACACCGCCGGAGCCGGGAACATTATAAAGAAGCTCTTCCCAACATGACGGAAATGGAGGGTGAAGTGCGTCTCCGAAATCCGCCAACGCCACGTCAGCTTCCGCCTCGATAAAAACGACCCCCTCCCCGGTGCAATCCACCATTAGTTTCCGGCCGGGGCCCTCCCGCAGCCTTCCCGCCATGGGGTAATAAAACACGAGAGCTTTCGCCAGTGCTTCCCGGATAACTTTCGCCGGGTGGCCTTTCCCGTGCTTGGTCTCGTCTCTCCGGTAGAACTGGATAACTGGAATCTGCAACCTACACCCTTCTTGGTCGTCGATGTCCGAGAGATATTTGATCTCTCTCGGTGTCGGCCCCGCCGGAGAAACAATCTCCCGCGTCCGCCTCCTCACCGTGAAAACCAGTGGTTGTGGCGGAGCCATATATTTTATTTAGCTTATGGAAGCACAATGCACCTAAAAGGAAACAACAATGAAATTTAACGATCCGAACCTAGCTAGGTTTACGTGTATATATGATGGTGCTTAAATTTTGCTATGCATGTGTGTGTATATACGGATTATATAATATTTTATCACCTTTTGTTTTTTTAAACTTTTGACGTAGTCTTTAAATATATAAATTTTATTTTTATATAATTTAATTAAAATAAATTTTAAAAACATAAAATTTTACTTATTTTAATGCTAAAATTATGGGAAAAGTGGAGAATTTCAAAAGCCAGCTCGCATGATGAAATTAGCTTTGGTAGGCTTTTGAAAACTTTAACACAATTAAGAACGAGTTGTCAACAATCACAAAACATACTTTGACGAAATAGGCTACAATAATCACGATCCCTTTTGAAATTAGAACTGTTGTTTTATACTCCCTCCGTCCTAAAACTTTCTTCCCAGAGCACTATTCCAACTTCACGGGAATTTATATTTATTTGTGTTTTTTATGGCCTATATGATAAAATAAAATATTCTTGTCACCACTTGTTTTGTTGAACTTTTGTTGTAGTTTTTAAATATGTATGTTTTATTTTTTATTTTTATACCAATATTTAAATAAAATAAATTGAAAAAACTTGAAATTTTTCTTCGTTTTACGCAACGGGAAGAAAGTTTTAGGAAGGAGGGAGTATGTATATATGCCTATATACACACACACACTTCATCCGTCCCATAAAACTTTTTCAATAGAGAAAAAAAGTGCGCCATAAAAATATATAATTTTAATATTATTTTTTTCATCACGACTCATCTATCTTACACATCATTTCACACTGTATTATAAAGTAGTGGCAAAATTAGAAAATAATACTCCCTCCGTCCCTAAATAAATTTCCTCTTTCGTTTTTTCTTTGTCCCCAAATAAACTTTTCTTTTCCCTTAAAAAACCTCTTTTACCCCTTATTTTTTCATACCCTACCTATCACATCATACCTTTTTACTAATAATCTACATATCACATCTTACTTTTACACATCACATCAAAGGTATTTTTGGAAAGTCAATACAAAAATATCTCTCTCTTAAATCCTCAAAAAGTCAAAAGCGAAAGTTTATTTAGAGACGGAGGGAATATCAAAATTACAAATTTTAGGGTGCGCCTTTTTTCGCCTTTGAAAAGTGCATAAGAGGGAGGAAGGATGCATGATGAGAGGGAAAATGGTCGAAAAATGATGAAGGAATAAGAGTAAAACATTTTGAAACCATGTGAATTTTAGAAAAAACGACAAGGAGAAATACTGAATCCGTCCATCCCCCCACCCCCAAGCTCGTCCGGTGCATAGTGCCGGAACAGAGAGGTATAATCCTCCATTGAAACCAAAGGTTGAATAGTATGATCAAACTCCATTGGGAGGGCATTTTGTGTCGTTTAGAGACGGCCAAACCCCAGCGCTGTCCCTGCACGAGAAATTTTGGTGTTCCTAGTCCTATTTAGTTTTGAGACGAAGAGAATATAATGATAACTTTGTAAATTTATATAATTCATTAATAATTAATTTATTAACGAAGTCTTATATCTAAAACATAAAATATTACTCCCTCCTTTCCAAATTACGGAGTATTTGTTCATTTGACTTTTATGACCACTTTGACCACAAACTAAATATACGTAATTTTATATATATAAAAGTTAAAAAAAATTGACATAATAAAACTACATCTTAAACCAAAACTCAATTAGAGTATTGAATTTACATTATAATTAAATAAATTTTTCTCACAATTTAAAACAAATAATTTCGGAGGGTGTAGGTACTACTGAGTATTTAGGCAATGAGATTATGTTGTACTCATTAGTACTATATTCAACAAATTTCACGTTTTTTAGTTTTTTATAAATAATTTTCTGTTTTTCTTTTGTTTATTAATTAATTAATTAATTAATTTTGCAGATACACCTCACATGGGAACAAGTTTAGAGTTACCTATTTTGTACAATAACGAATGAAGTCAATATGGTTCTTTTTCGACATAAGAGCAGAGGCCTCAAATTCATGGTTAAGCAAAAAAAAGGCAAGATATATAAATTCTTCCGAACCAATCCAAGCCGTCCATGCTCCGACTAAGCAGTGGGACTCCGTGCAAGAAACACATCTCCCAGTGCTGCTTCAAGGTTAAGAACAATCTCTGCATATGCTGAAGTCAAAAAATATATATAGTGCACGTGTGACGCCTTCTGCATATGAGATTCTCTTGTAAATGTAATGTAAGTTTTGGAAAAATGTTTGCCGTTAGCGTTTTTTAAACGGTGCGGATGAACTTTGAAAACACTATAGCTATCGTTGAATAGTATTTCCAAAACGCTAAAGGTAGTTCCAAACGAAGCCTTGGTAAGCGAGAAATGTGTAGTATAGTGAGACTCACCTTCGGGAAGACTCATGGTTCGTAGTGCTTCCTCTGCATAGGCGAGACGCTCTGGAGCTGCTGAGAATATTTTGCCTTTCCTGGTTGAGGATTTGTTTGGCCATGCGAGAACGCTGACCCCACTCGGCAGAGTGGACCCCAAATCAGCGTATCTTAGGCACACTGTTATCCTGCTGCCAACGTGCGAAAAGAACACACGTTTCGTACCATGACCGTGTCAATAAGTGAGCCCACAACCAAAGTGGAAATTCATTTTCTCTATGTTATGATGGTTAGAATTGTAAATTCACAACATCATTGCTTTATTTCCCTCTAAAATCAATAATTTAAATAATACAAATATGAGTGGTTTTTTGTGAAAAAGCAACTTGAAAAGGCAGAGAGGAAGAAACTACATACCAACCGAAGTCGTTAAGCATGAACTCAATCATATGGTAAGGAAGACTATGATACAATTGTACAATTTGGTTCCCGTACAACTCTTTAATAAGTCGCACCTGTAAAAAAGAACGAGAGCTGAACCAAAATAACAAATAGCGTAACTGAGGAGTATAATACAGTTCTCAAAATGAAATGTCTTTTTTTTTCCTTTTCGAAAATTACACTATGATTATCTACCAGTTTGTACATGAGTACATCAGTGTTCTACTCTATCAAGTGTGTGCATTGCTAGTGTTCAGGTTCATGTCTTCTTTCTTAGTTTCCTTTTCATCTTTGAAAGACAAAAATCAAAGGGATCTACATAAAAAATTATATCAAACATATTGCTTTCATATACTTTTCTAGAACAGACTCTTCATTTCCCCTCCATTGAGCCAAAGATACTGCCTTTTATAATATTTCCATTTTCCTCCCTACCATCTCCACGGTTCCTCCTTCCTTCCCCTCCCCTCCTCTTAACCAAACAAGAGGTGAGAGGCAAAATCAACAAGTTTTACATAACCAGTGAAGAAAAAAGCATGTACCTGTTCCCGTCTATCTACATATGCCTGCAACAGATCTCCCACATGGTCTATGAATTTCTGAAATAGGAGTATCAACATGTGTTAAGAGTAACTAAGAGATTATCTCCTTGCACCAAACATTGGTGGTTGCAACAATAAGTCTGTACCATTGCATTTGAAGAGAGGAGCTCATTTTCCGCTTCACGTATAGGAAGGAAAAAAGGGACTGTATGCTCAAGAACCGTCAGCTTCTCAAGAAATGATTTGCTCTCAAGCACGCAGTGGTAAAGTTCACAAGTTTCTCCTGCAAAATAAAGATCAAATGACTACGGGAAGGCACCAGATAAAAAAGAACTAGCAACAAAGTACCAACAGATTTGCAGAATGCGAATTGCTTAAAACATCATGCTGCACAGTAAGCAGATCACTTATCCCAGATATTGACCGAACATTCTTAAACATATTTCTTTTTGTAAATTCCAACAACGCAAGAATAATTTCTTGAATATTATGAGTAGTTTATGTAATGTTTTCCACAAACCTACAAAGACTGAAATGTCATCGGATAAGGATAAACACTTTGAAAGTTGTAATACCAGCGAAAGATGTCTCATATTGTATACCGATTCTTGCTCCTTCTAAACAACAGATCACCTAAGAGGAATATAGTGAAAGTCAGTCAGCAAGCTAGAACTTTCATGTGAATTTTTTTTGTCCACTGTTGATTCAATCCTTTTCTTTTTTGGTTGATAAAATATTAATTGAAAATAGAAGGGATGATGAAAATCCATCCTCACAAGTTGAAACAAAAATGAAAGCAGTTTACACAAATAATGATGAGGGTACTACCACTACTACATATGTCATGTGCTATAGAATAATCCCCCTTTACGCCATAAGAAGTTGTGCACTGTAAATCCATCCCATAAACATTTCAGGGACAGTCACTCCAACAACTGGTGCATACCTATAACAAAGGTTCTTAGTTCAACCTATTTACCCTATTAAAGACATTTATGAGATTCATTACACTCCATGAGAGCCTCAACATGACATGTAAGTTCAATATGGTAAGCCTAAATATTCGTAAACAGAGATACTAGAGATTAGTTGACACTCAAGATGGATTCTTCTTAATTTATACTATGCATTTAATATCACCAACCTAATTTTCAGCACAGCATACCTTATTACCAACTTTATATGTAACTTTTTCTTGACAAGGAATTGGAGACTGGGCCGCTTCCCCAGAAGTTTGCATGGCCTTAATGTCTGCCTCAATGTGAACCTGATACAAATAGCATATTTTAGATTTAGGTTCTTCTCATTGCGTATCAAAACAGAAATTTTGACAAGCATTTCTTGATTTTCTTTTATTTAAAGACAACAAAAAAAAGGACTAGCAAAGGTAAAACAGCTACAAGTAAAATCGATATATGATTAAAAATGAAATAGTAAAAATCAGTTATAACGAAAGGTCCTAAATGCCTTCTTTAAGATAAAATTGTTTATGAAAAAGTTACTACTCCAACAACAACAACATTACCCTAGTGCCTCAAAGGCTTCCCGCCCATTGCGGATAGGTGGGTCGGATGTACACAGCCCTGCCCCTCTGTTAAAACATAGAGAGGCTGATTCCAGATGACCCATGATCAGCGTCGAACATTGCATTGGATAATGGTTACTCCACTATCAAAAGAAGCACAACTAGTTTAAGAGCCATTTTGCTTTATTCCATCTCACTCAGTTACTCCAAAGCCAGATAATAGTGAATATTTGGCTCCATTGGAGGAGATGGAAGTGAAAATTTTACTACTCTATGCCAAATAAATTTGATGCTTTATACCTTAACTTGAGTTTCTTTCTCTCATAGAGAATCTTCTTCCCCATCTCAGAAAATTGAGAGTAAATTTAAATTAGACCAACAAGAAAACGTTTACTTTGAACTTATAATTCAACTGTTAGACACTTGCTTAGTTTACCACAGGCATTTCAAACAAAAAGAAGTGTGAAAGAAAAAGCATCCTGTTGATACTTTTTTTTCCACAATGAGTAAGATACTAAGATATGATACAAATAGAAAAGTACCTGTTCCCTTAATGTAGCCAATAAACCATCATTCCATTGCTCACCATCCAAGCTAATTTCTACAAAAGCAAATCCATATATATAAGTTGGGTGATGTGACATCAACATAGCAATAAACTAACTAATATTGAGAGGCAGGAAAGACATAAGTACATAACACTGGGATCAAATAATAATTACAAACATGTGTTCCTGAACAAAATCTGGTTAATATACACTTCCTATGTCCCAACTCCCAAAATGAACTTTACTGTTTTGTGGAAAGCTGAAAAGAAACTAAAATTATGTGGTAATTTATGTTTTGAAAAGAGATACACAATATCAACTACACAGTTCTTCCCATTAAGATAAAACGAAAGATTACTTTCATATTTTGGAGCAGATGGAAAATAGAGTCGAAAAGTTCACTTGGGGACGAAAGGGGTGACTCATAATTGAACCTCCATGTCATTAATATGCATGTTTGGTGTTCACACCTAATACATAACAAAACATTCAACCACACTACAGTCCTGCAAAACTGAAAAATAGATGGTAGGTACACTCAACTGAATAGAACAAGAATTATGTAGTGGAAAGCTACCTTGAGTTTGAGAAGAGCGTGCAGCTTCGAACTCTCTATGCAAACGCTCAAAAATTGTCTTGTCGGAGTCCCTAACAAAGTCAAACAAATTGCACAAACAAACAAACAAAATTTGAAACTAATTTAGGTAAGGAGTGATGCTTCTGAAAATTTTCAACTAACATTTCGACCAGATGCTGGGAAATAAGTAGGATGAAGATAAAATCGCTTCTGTAGAAAGACACTGAAAAAAACCTACCTAGAAAGACGCTCTGCAAGATCTCCATGCCTTTTAAGTACATTTGAGACTGTCAGCAAAACAATAAAATTAAACTCAATGAATGTCGCAAAATGAACAAGGAAAAAGAGCAAGGCAACAGCGATACATTTCGCCCGTGTAGTCTCCAACAGCATATCATCCTCCTGCAATGAATTCTGAGCACAAATTCCAACAAATAATCACACTGAACAGAACAGCTTGAGTGAAAGGAACAATACAAATACATACAATACATCATCAAACTAATGGCACATGATGAACTGGTAAAACACGGAAGAGCTCTGAAAGAGTCGTACCATGTCGCCCTTCTTCAACTATGAAGCATGGAGCCGCCAAATCTATGGAGAAATCGCGCGACGGGGAAAAGGACACTAGGTCGGACGGGACACGTGTCAGGCACTCGGATCGGCCGGAGACGAGGTCAAATGCGTCGTACACGGCCGGCGATACGCCGGGGCTTCGTTTGGAGAGATGTTTATTATTCCGGCAATGTCGCCATGTGATGGTGATGGGAAAACGACGAGTGTGGTTGGGCTTCATCGCTTTTGGGTTTTATCCAAGGCAGTCAGTCCAATTGTAGAATCAGATCAAGTTCGGGCTCGGGCCGGGCCCTTACTATGCAAAAATATTATTCACCCGATTATATATTTATAACTTTTGAATATCGAAATAGCTATTTTCAAAAAGTCAGTTTACAACGTATTTTTTACGATCTGACAATGACACAAACAGTCAACAATCGAAAGCCAACATTCAAATAAAGCTATTATATTAAGAAATTTATCTCTTTTGTTTCGTTTTCATAAAATATGAGTATGACTTTGCTTTTATTGAACTCTTCTTCTTCTTCACCGAAATCACTACCCGCTTTAGAATATCGCATAGAACATCCCTGACGCAAAATCACATACCTTATGGCAAATTGGGCAAGGCTTGTCTATCGACCGGAATAGAAGTATCAATAATCGGTACTTAAGAATTACTCGATACTCCACAATTGACATGTGTTGGCCCAGTCCTTCAATAGAAACGACTGTCAAGAAATCTTGAGCATGAGAAGTCCGGAGACATTCACATCGCTTTTTGGCATGGGAATAGATCAAATTTTTCTCCCAAAGTTTGAATGGTGATACTAAGAGGGTGTTTAGCAATGCGCTGCTTTTAATAATTTAGCTTCTACTTTGAGTGAAAGTGGTTTTACTCTGTTTGGTATGTCAGCTTATGTTTTTCTCCACCACTATTTTGTACATAGAACACCGTTACGGAGAAGCAAGTATGAGGTGATTTTGCTTTCAGCTTTTGTGAAAATTTCTTTATCCACAACTTAATCACTTCCTCTAAATAAGGTACTCATCAAAACATATGGGGCTTTAGAGAGACGATGTCTGACAAATCCTAAATAATATGATCTCACAAATTCCAAGATTGAAATCTCAAACAAAAACCATTAAAATGTGAATTAAAATATGGAATAGGATGTGTACTCCTATTACTTCTATTAAACTAAGAGAAATTATTAATTTTGAATCTAAAATCTCAAGCTTTAAACTTAAAATGAGACACTCAAGTCTAAACAACTAAAAACTTAAATTGAAAGAAATACGAACACTTTTTTCTAAACTATTTTTTGTTAAGTTTTGATTATATGGTTGATCATTTGGTAAAATAAAATAAATTTGTTGTTATTACTTATTTCGTTACTTTCGTAAAATGTTTGATATAATTAATAAATACGTGAAATGTATTTTTTATTTTTATATCATTTTATAAATAGAATCATTTTGAAGATTTTTAAATTTTTTATACATTATTCGAAAAGAAGATAGTTTCGAAACAGAAAAAGTATCACTTTTACTCGTAATTATTTACACATTTGGTGAAATTTGAATGTAAATTTATTTGCAGAATAGTCAAACACTTGAGCACAACTTGCGTTAGAGTAGAGGGCCGTGTCCGGCATCATTTGTTCAAACTAAAATAACAATGGTCCTCCATTTTTACTTTATTTACTCTATAAAATCATGTGTAGACCTAGATCACATAAAGCAAGTTCGAGTTTGAATGTGAGAGTACTGTGGAAATAGTCAAGGAGACTCGGGCTTCAAACATTCTCTTTTTTACATCAGTTTTAACTTACATCATTGTTTCATTAAAAATTGATTTGAAGTCTCGGGGCTTCAAACTGGTATTTAAACTCTTTTTAATGTCTTAATACAATTTTGCAAAATTAAATTAATAAAATTTGGTTAATTATTAAATTTAAACGATAGTCATTCGTTAAATAAAAAGCTATATTAAATAAAAAAAGATATTAAATAAAAATGCAATGCTCAGATTTGAAAATAAATAGATTTGGGAAAGAAAAAACTCAAAAGAATTTATAATACTACTCATACCAACAAGGTGTATTTTCTTTTCGAGAGCTCATCACTTAAAAAACTCCAAAGTTAACACAATTATAATTCATTCATATTTTGTTTTATATATCTTTTAATGTGGTTTTTAAAATATAGTGTTTATTTTTAATGTTTACATCGATATTGCAAAAAATTGAATAGAAACTAACTTCATTTTAATATATCATAAAGAAATACTCATATGACATTGACTCGGAAGTAAAAAGACATCTTATTTATTAATTAAAAGTTTTGTTATAAAAGAAGAGAGTAAAAATATTAAGTTGGGAAAGAATATTATAATTAAATCTTATGTTCTTTTCCTTAGTTAAATTTATTCAAAGATTTCATATTGAAATATTAATTAGGTGGCATATTAGATTATTAGCTATCAAAAAAATGTAAAATTTATTTATATGTGAATAAAGTATTTTATTTATTAGGTGTCAATATTTAAATAAAACTCTTCTAAATAAGGAATTAAATAAGGCAAGTAAATTCAGCTTCTCAAAGTTTGGACTCTACTTTTTATATATAAAGGATTGACTAGTCTAATGAACTTTATCAATAACAAAATAAAAATTATGTTTTTTATTCAATGTAGTAGAGGATAAACATAAATTAGGTTAAGCTCTTATAGGGCTCCTACGTTTTTTGAGAGTGCTTTCCAAGTTCCTGAATTATTTTAAATGTTTATAAGGTCTTTATATAATTTTAAAAGCACTCTGTGGGTCCTTAAATTCTTCAAAGGCCTAATAGCTCCGGTGCCCATGTGGTTTGGAAAATTGACATCAATACCCTCTCTATTTTCAAAACTTATTTCTAAAGTTCTTGTGGTTTCAAAACGTTGCACCCACACCCCCTTTGATCATTTTCCGGCCATTTTCCAGCGAAGAGGGAGCATTGGCGCATAATTTCTAAACCATAGGGGGCACTCGTTTATTATTTGTGTTTTTCCTTCTTTTTCCTTTTCCTAGTTTTTTTTTTTAAATTTCTTTTCAATTTTTTATAATGTTTTAAATTTTTTAAAAATTCTTTGTGTTTGAACTAATAAAAAAAATTAACATACATTACATCTATCTCAAATTAAACATTTTCACCTTTTCTTACATAGAATAATTTTTTGGAAAGTTCAAAAAGAAAACCCAAAATAAAAATATGGAAAAACGAAATGAAAAAATTAAAATACGAAAAAAAGAGTCTTCTACAAAAAAATAATTTTGGAACACGCCTAAAAATATCCTTAAAATTGAGATGTCAAAAAAGGATAATCATTTTTATTTTTGTATTATTTTGTTTCTTATTTTATTCATTATTTTTTAGAAGTTCTAAAAAAATTACCTTTTTCGGAAAAAACAAGAATTGTTAATTTTTAAAACAAAAATAACTTTAAATTTTAAGAACATTATAAAAGTAATTGTAAAATAACCTGTATTAATAAATGAAACAAATAAAGGAAAAAATGGGGAAAAAGAGAGAAATAAAAAATCAGCACTGGTACCCTCCGTGGTTTAGAAAATATGCACGAATGCCGCCCTTCTTCACCGGAAAAATGACCGGAAAATGATCAGAGGGGGCACAGGTGCAACGTTTTGAAACCACAAGGACTTTAGAAATAAGTTTTGAAAACAGGAGGGGTATTGCTACCTATTTTGCAAACCACGAGGGGTACTGACGTTATTTAGCCATTCTTCTAATCCATTTACTTTCTAATTGGTGCATTGGAGCATCCACAGTGATAGCACTTCTCATTAGATGCTCAAATATGAGATATATTGCAAAAATATTAGAGAAAAAGACTAAAGTAGGAGTAAAAGATTGAAAATATAGTAATTTGCACATGTACAATGTCACGTTACCTTCACATTACTACAGTGCGAACTTCTGTTTCGAGAATAAAAACATGGAAGTCCTATTTGTGTATTTTTTTTATATTTTAGTCTTATTTAAGGTGATTTCTAAAAGTATTATTGCAACATCTCTTTGAACATCCAAATCTTTAATGGTGACATGTCGTTGAGATGCCTTGAGTGGCTCTTACTCACATACAAATATAATTTTTATATTGTTATTTTTAATTATAAATTTTTATATTATATATACGAGTGTTATATATGGAGTAATAAATTACTTCCTATGTCACATAAAGATATTCTAATTTTGACTTTTAGAAAATTTAAGGAATGTATATTTTTGTGTTAACTTTCTAAAATACAAGGGGATATATGGGAACTCGGATATTACGTTTAACCGATTCAATTTTAGAAAGATCGATGATATATGGGAACTCGAATATACAAATTTCACAATTCTTGTTTTCCGCTGTAAATGGGTGGATATCAACAAGGGGATTAAATCAGATGACATGGGGTTTAAATTATTGAATTTTAAAAAGTTGGGTCATCATGAGGAACCGATTATAATGGCCTCTCAAGCAACACAAATCTATTACATTGTTGATCCTAAAGATCAAAATTGGTCTGTTGTTCGACAAGGGAAGAGGGCATCAGTTGAGTTAGACGACAGTTTATACGACGAAGCAACTCATATTTCAATGATTTTGCCGAACTCACAAGTAGATGATATAGGAGCAAAATACATCCGCGAAGATCACGAAGAAGGATTATGGATAGATGGGGGAAAGAAAAAGTTAAAATAATGCTTTAGGTATTTTTTCTGTTTATATTGATCATTTTCATTGAATTCATTGTTGTTTCACTTTTATTATACTTATGTTGTCTAAATTATTTTGAATTTGTGCAGGTATGGCGGACGAACGGAAGAAGAAAAAGGTTAGAGGTGCAAGGAAGTGCGAGAAGCTGTATAAGAGGAGGAGGGAGGGTCACCCGCCTATAGAGCTTGAGTGGGAGCGTGGGGAGCCTATACGTGGACCGTATATTTCTGAGTTTTCTGGGCTTGTAGGGTTTGAGGTCCGATTGAGAGTTCCGATTACTTATAATAATTGGCATGAAGTCCCGAAAGACCTGAAGGCCACAGTACTCGACGGGGTTCAGGTAGGTACCACTTTATTTATCTAAATATGCTAACTTTAATTGTAACATGGTTCTATATATAATAAGTTGTTGCTTCATTTTCTTGTAGGATATATATGTGATACCTCCCGGTGGGGCCTCACATGTCATGACGGTTGTCGCGTCGAAACTTCGCGCTTTCAGGACATATTTACGAAAAGCCTATTTGACGGAGGGTGGGGAACATTACAGCAAGTCTCCCTCTGATCGTTATACCTTCATAGAGCTAGAGCATTGTGAGGAGTTTCAGATCCAGATGGGGACTCCGGAAGCTAAGGTAAACTATAATTACCTTCATTGAATGATATTATTAACTAACATATTAATTTATTTTAAACAATTGTTTTAGACTTTGAGTGAGAAGAATAGGGATATACAGAAGAATTCCTATCCGCACTATATAGGCCGGGGTGGATATGCCATGCTTCAACGTGAGTTTGCCGCTACTTCTCAATCAACCACTTCTGCTGATATCGCTGGTTCATCTACCGAGATGAGTTCTCAGCTCGGACGGGAGGACTCTTGGTTGCGAGGTCACACCCCAGGAGGCTTACGGACCCTGCACTGATGGAGATTCGTGATAGGATAGTAAGCATATAATCTACAATTACGTCAATATATTTGGTTATTACTTGTTTATTATTTGCTTACAATTTCTTTACTTATTTTCTTTCTTAACTGTAGGTCAAGCTGAAGAAAGAGGTCGCAGCCGGTACCTTTGTGCCAGATGGGCACAATGATGTACTGACTAGAGCTTTAGGGACTGCCGAGCACCCGGGGCGGACGAGGGGTGTTGGGTCATATTCGGGCTTACGTAAAGTTTTCAAAGGCAACATGAAGCCTCGTAAGCCCGAAGGTAACTATATGACTGAGGAGGATCTTTTGCAGCGTCTTCCTTCCCTTCTGCAGCAGTATGGACTATTTGTGTCCGGGGGTGCTCCAGACTTTGCATCCATGTCGCAGCACACACCTTCTGTAGCACTTAATTATGGGTAGCGTAGTAGCAAGGCGTATACAGATTTTGTTGACTTCGCCGATGTCACTGAGGTATGTACATATATTTTGTAATTAAGGTTTCAAGTTTAGTTTACGTTTACTTGTTTCCGACATTAGTTTACTAATTGTGTTTTATAGGTTGCTGCTTGTTACTTGAGGATCTCTGATCCAGCGGATTACATAGTGGCGCATGGATCGGTTTTCCCACGTGCACCGGGAGATATGGTGCATGGTGTTCCCCTTCTTCCCCACCAGGTTAAGGTCTCTGTGACCCTTGTGCTTCCTGGAATGGGTGAATATACCATTCCTTGTCCGACTGAGCATATAGAGACTGTGGCCGATTGTGAGGGGAGCTTCGTTACATGGCCAAAGTCGTTGGTGGGCCTTGGAGATGTAAGAAGTAAATAAATTTAGTTCTTTTTTATTCAACATCATTTGGGCTGTGTTTCATATATCATTTTTTGAAAATATTCGTAGCCCCCGGTGCAGACGGCTCGACATGGCGACTTCTCATCAAGCAAATCTCGTCCCATTCTCGGCGTATGTCCCACTGCTCCTAGCTCTCCCGTACAAGATGTTGTTGACCAGAGCTCATACGTCGCATTCGGACCGAGGTGCAGAGAGTTATGTCAGTGGCTGACACGCACATCTACTTTGCCTACCATCAGCGTCATTCTCGATCCCGAGTCCATGCTTTATTCGGAGGAGACGGAGCTGAGGATGCGTCCAAAGAATATACGTGAGTTCATGCGATGGGAGAATGTCGATCAGACCATCATCATTGTTTTCTTGAGGTATGTCAAGCACTACGTACGAATAAGTTACTATTATAATTGTAATTATTTCTTATAACTGTAATTATTATTTACATGCGAAATTACTAGATTGTTGCACAATCATATCATGGAGCACGGCATCGCGTCTATCGGGTTGTTATGTCCGGAGAACATGGCATACGTGGTAGATTTTGGAGATTGCCAGTATCTGGATAGAGCACTCGAGACCTATCAATCGCGACCCTGGATACTTATGTCGTTGTATCTATCGACACCGTACGTTTTCTAAATCATTTCCAATATGTATTTAGTTTTTTATTTTAAGTTAGTGACTGGCACTTTTTCAATTGTAGGCATCATTGTGTTAGTTGTAATACGTTTGTTTGAAAACAAAGTGTATTTCTTAAACTCAATCAAGGCAACCAGAGGGCATAAGAAAATAAAGGTGAAGACTTTCGTCAACGAGTAAGTATTAAGAAATTTATTTCTTATTAATGAAATTTTTTATTTGTTAAGATATTAATTTCTTATTAATTTGTTTTTTACATATATTAAAGGTCTTGACGGTTACTTCGGGAACGACACACGCCTCAGCTTAAGGCTCGACCGGATTGGGTTGATGTTCCCGGAGTACCCCAACAAGTAGGGAACGTTAAGTGTGGTTACTATACCATGCAATTTTGTTGGCTCATCGTCAATATGTGTGCACAAAGTTCTCTACCGTTATCCGATGTAAGTTTGTTTTAGTGTGTTTTTGAAAGTAATGAAATGTAGGGTAATGATAATTAAACTTTATGTCGTATGTTGTTTTCGTATTGCAGGTATTTCAATCTACTACGCCTTATACTAAAGCCGAATTAGAAGAGGTTAGAGAGTTTTGGGTGCGGGGTTTTCTCGATGAATTTGTGTAAGTTTAATTTGTGTTGTATTGTATAGTATTAAATGTAATTTAGTAGAGTGTAGTTGTTTGACTTTTAGTTGTGTTGTTAAAACTTAGAAGAGTATGTAGTTGTTTAATTTTACACTTGTATTTTTTAATATGTACAAGTGGTCGAAGCAAATGTTTACTTTTTTGGTTTAATTTGTTTTCTGGCATTTGAGTTTTGTGAATGCATTTGTGTTAGTTACTGTTGTGTTGATGGCTTGAATTCTTGTTGTTGTTAAATATGTATATTTTGCACAGAATTCTCTGCAAAGTTGAAATGTAGTGGATCGGGAGCAAACAAAATAGTCCTTTTGAAAAAATTAATATTTTGAATCGGTTATTTGATAATAACCGATTCAAATGCCTAAACTTTTGAATCGGTTATTACCAAATAACCGATTCAAAAGGGCCTTCCAAGAGAAGTTTTTTTTGAATCGGTTATTTGGTAATAACTGATTCAAAAGATTAGGCATTTGAATCAGTTATTACCAAATAACCGATGCAAATACTTCCTCCCAAAAATGGCGCCATTTCTGGGAAGGAGCTTTTGCATCGGTTATTTGGTAATAACCGATTCAAAANGGGGGGGGGGGGGGGGCTTTTGCATCGGTTTTAACAACCGATGCAAAAAGTAACCTGAGTTTTTGCATCGGTTCAAAACCGATTAAAAAAGTCTTATGTGTGTGTGTGTGTGTGTGTATGTGTATATATATATATGTGTGTGTGTGTGTATATATATATATATAAGACTTTATGAGACTATTCCTAGTCCGATCTCACTCTACTAGTTGTATTTCCTCCATTTTAGAGGACCAAATTAAACGAGACTATCCGTCTAAGACCGGATCAGTTTCAAAGACCACTTTGGTCTCAACCTTTTCAGGTCTTATCTCGATCTATCCCAATTGATCTTTTCCGTCCCAATCTCTTAGTTCTTCTCAAGTTTGAGATAGTTTAGCACTCTCGTGATAAGTTCGATCAATCTTGGATCCGTCATCGTATGTGATGGTGTAAATTACTTGACCGGTCAAACTATCCTAGACCGGGTCTAGAATAGTTCGCTTGATTTGGCAAAGTAAGAAAGGTAAAAACGCGCAGATTGACCGGTAGGACTTTAGGTGGAACACCTGTAGCCCAATTTATATTATAACGGAGAATGCACGGGTGCTTTTACAAGGGAGTTTAGAGAGAATGAATTCGGATCCCCCTTCTGAGGTTTACAAGGGGTATATATACTAAGCTGGGGGGACAGGTCCACGTGCGCCCACGTGGGGGCACGTTGCCGACGTGGTGCGAGATGACTGTCCCTGAGCCGCCTTGTCATCTTGCGAAGGGGATTTCCCTCTTTGTCACGTTCTGGCTTGGAAATATTCCTCCAGGATCTCTGCAATTCCAACCACTAAAGTCCAAGTCCTTTTGGACTCCTCCTGCCGACACTCCTCGATCTCTAAAAGTTGTACCGGTTGATTTCTGAAGGCTTGGATTAATTGTCTTCGGAATCGGTTCCTGCTGATGGAATAAGCTGACCGGTATACTTTCCGAAGTGTACCGGTCCACTTTTTGGTCACTCGGTGGTCCATTCAGATCTCTCTTCAAAGTTTGACTTCTTTAACCGGTCAACTATCCGGTCCTGACCCTTGACCGGTCGTGGGTGAAATACACCCATCAGTATGTAATTGTGGTGTATGTACATTTTACAAATAAGGAGTATCTTTAAATACACAGGATTTTAAACAAATGTAGAACAATACTCTTTTCGTCTGTCATAGATATTCTCAAGTTGATTTTTGTGTTTTTTGAAGAGAAATGAAAAAAGAGCAAGTTTACTAGGAAAATGCTTTTATTACTCATTCATTTCCTTTTATGAAAGGAAAAAAAATTGGAACGAATTAAAACAAGTAAAAATTTTTATTTGAGGACCGAGGTAATAATGTAATAATACGGAGTATGCTATTTCTCCAACTCAAAAACCTTTTCAATTATTATTTACATGTCAAATTTTATATTATTTTTTACACCTACTTTTATAACATTTTTTTTAATTTTAAAATTTGTTATTTTTATTACTTAATTTTCAAAAAGTTATTAAATGAAAAATCATTCAATAAAACATTGTAACTTGTAAAAGTGTAAATTGGTCTTTGTTTTTTGCAGGACGAAAGGAATATACGTTACGTCACTACATGGTTTGATATCACGGACTCCAAGAAAAATGTTATTGTAAAAGAATAAATAAAAAAAACTCTCTTCATTCCAAAAAAAATGTTCTTGTTTTCCTTTTCACCATTTCCAAAAAAAAGACTTATGTTTTTATGTATAAAAACATTGTGTGGCCCACCCTAATTTTCTCCATTCTAAATCGTTTTTAACAACAGAATTTTAATTTTATTAAATTTTGTTTAAAACCCAAACAAGAGACTTTTTTTTGGAATAGAGTGAGGTAAAGTTATCCAAAGTTGTTAGAAAGAGACAAAAAAAATTAAAGTTCATCATAAAAACAAAACACTTGATGTAAAATTTAGAGTAATGCTAGAGTCACAAACTACTGGGACACAAATTACACAAACTTGCTATTTATGTATCTCAATTTTCATTTTGTAAGCATTTAATATCACTTTATTCAATTGGAAAAGTACAAAAATAGCAAGTTTGTGTAATTTGTGTCCCAATAGTTTGTGACTCTAGCATTACTCTAAAATTTATTTTGACACAATCTTGGTTTTTTTTTACCGAGGGAGCACAATAAAGCCGGTAAAAAAATTCCATCTCACACAAATCACAAGTACCAATCAGATGAGTAATATTCAATCAAAAACATATATTATTATTAATATAATTACTCTCCTCCTAATTTTTAGCTCCCGGCCAATTATTACTAATGCCGCCCGTCCCACGGTTGGTTTTCCGGCCACCGCCGCCGTCAGGGAAGACCAGACCAGTTACCGTCATCCCCGCAGTGTTCCGGCGGCAGGAGGTAGAGATCATTATTTCACAGCGCAGAAGAGACGAGTCCCCAAGGGCCCAGATCCAATCCACAACAAATTTGTGGTGGACGCCGCCGCCGCCGAGTCCCCGTAGTCAATGCACACACCGCGCGTTGGGTGTTAGCATCATTTTTCCATCTGTAAACTGGGATGAGCTGAGGTGTATATACTACGTACTCTGTGAATTAATCGTTTAATTTCACTATTCAAAATCAAATCCTTTTTTGTTTTCCTTATTCATTTTTCAAAATAATTTAGTAATATTATCCCTATATACTCCGTATATATTATTGTGAAATTTGTACTAAATAATACGGAGTACTAAAAACATGTTTTTTCTCAGTGTAGTACTTGAATTTTTTTATTCCCTAAATAATGATGATAGATATTTAGTTTGAAGAATATGCGATGACGGTGGATACGTACTTGAACAATAATCAATGAACAATGACCAGTGATACTACACTGAGAAATAAAAAGATACTCCGTATGATACTACATTAGAAAAAATCACTATGTTTTAATGTTATTTAGGTAAATTCACATATATTATTATGTACTCGAGTTAATTCTATTACGAAATTATATGCGATAATTAACTTAATTAAAACTAAATTTAGTTATTTTGAATCTTTTTATGAATGGTTTGACTTTTTACACTTAATTATTCTCTACCTTTGAAAACAAATTAAATAAAAGTTATGTGGTATATTAATTACAAAAATTAATATTTTGAAAATATTTTACAGAATAAATTTAATAATTTTTTTTGTATCATTATCTAATATCAACTTTATTTAATTAGGTGTCAAAATTTGTCGATTATGACTATAAAAGGTCAAAATTGGACAAATATTTCGAAACACAAGTAACAATATATACCTCATTCATTTTATTTTGTTTCGGTGAAACGCCCTTATCTTCAATTTGCTATTCATAGGGTCATTTTTTGTTCACATTCTTTCACTATTTTTGTTACTCAATTAAAAAAAATAATATAGTCATGTTACATCTTATTTCGTAAATTTTTTTATATAATTTTTTAATATGTGAAATTTATTTTTTAATTCTGCTCAAATTTTCAAATAAATTGTGTTGAAAATGAACTCAACCAAACATTGTAAATCCAAACAGGCGATATAATTTGCGACTGAGAGAGTACAAGGGTCAAGCCCGGGCTCCAAGCAATCACAATATATATCATACAGCCGGTTGTATGATGTTTTCCAAATATCCGGGACGTGTACTCATTTAAGAGCAATTAAATATTCATTTTCGAGTAATTGAATAATTTTTTTTCAAAAATTCAATTATGCTTGAAGACAAATATTCAATTACACAAAAATGAATATTTAATTACTCAAAAATGAATATTCAATTACTCGAAAATAAGTATTTATGTGAATGTATAGAAAATACCGTACATATTGGTCATGACGACTGCACCATGGGCTTTGATTTCATAAGGAAACTTGGTTCAACAGACAGTGGGCTTTGCGTTGGGCCGTCGGTGATTGAGACGCAAGGAGGAAAGGGAGGTTCAAACATTATTTTGACTTTTGAGCCTGATTTAGAATCCGAGACAAGTGAGTGTAACACAAGAAGAAAAAGAAAGATTTATACTCTCTCCGTCCGAAAATATTCTTCTCATTTGATTTTTTACGGTCTTCAATATTGCACGTTGACCATTAATATCCATATTTATACATAGATATATTTTATAATAATTTAACATTTCAAAACTATGTTTCAATAGAAATATATTAATATTAAATTTAAATTATAATATAATATATTTTTTCCTTATATTGTTGTCAAAGTTTACAAACTTTGACCATAAAAAGTCAAATGGGAAGATTATTTCACCAAATTAGCAATTAAGGGCATGTCCTTTCGAGAGTAAGCTTTTAACTTTCAATTTCTTAAATTTTTTCCAACACTTCAATTCATGTTTCTTCTAATTTCTTCATAATCTTTTAGTTTTTCCAATTTTTTTCTTCAATTTTATTTACTAATAAACAATGACACAAAAATGATGTATTTTACATGTTATTATTATTATTACTATTATTATGTGTAAGGATTTCATACCACATAATACTCTTAGTATCCCAAAATAGTTTTTCTTGTGGTTTATAATATTTAACTGAAATTGTTTTTAATTTAATTTATAAAAAAATTGCTTAAAATATTAAAACAAAATTAATATATTTAAAATCTAAATAAAGAATTGGACAAAATCAGAGATGACACAAAACTACTCCCTCTATTCCTTTTTAAATTGTCTCGTTCGTTTTTAGCCTAATATTTAACTAACAATATCTCTTGGAATCTATTAGCAAAAGATTATTACAAACCAATACATTAAAAATAGTTTTCGATGATAATAATTTGGTAAAATTTTTATATTTTATTTCATTGTATATTTTTATATATACTTCCTTCGTTCTAAAAATACTCTTCCCATTTCTATTTACGAGGTTTGACTGACTTTATTTTTAATTAAATTTATAGACTCTAGGTGTAAAATTTAAAAATAAAATTTATATATTTAAAAACTTCATCAAAAGTTCTACAAAATAAGATGTGAAAAAACTATATTATTTTATCAAATAACTAACAAAAATAGGTAAAGAAAGTGATTAAAGTTTGACTGTGTGAATAGTAACTGGAAAGAATGTTTTAAGGAGGGAGTAGTTACTTAAATGCTTGATACACGAAACAAAATGAACAATTAAAAAGAGTGAAAAGAAGAAAATAATGTGAGTAATGTGACCAAAATTTGATGATATTAAAAATGAACAAAAAAATTAGAAAAAAGATGAGCTCTGATGTTGTAAAACCAACGTAATGCTAAGTTACGAAAAGCGGAAGGTTGAAGGTGGATACACCTGTAACCTGAGTAGTTATTAATAATGTAGGAACTGATTACAAAGTTACAAGTCGTGTGGATTAATTAAAGCATGCCTTTATAATGAGGCTTTTACTCTTATTTAATTTATAATAATAGAAAATTCACTGTTCAGCACTACTGTTTATCTCAAGTCATCCACCCGGATAGTCTCCAAGTCATCCACCTGGGTAGTCTCCAAGTCATCCACCCCGGCAGCCTACAAGCCATCCACCTGGACAGTCTTCAAGTCATCCACCCGGGTAGTCTTCAAGTCATCCACCCGAGCAGTCTTCAAGTCATCACCGGTAGGGGTGTGCAAGAATCGGTCTGGTCCGGAAATTAGACCTGACCCAGACCGGAATGGACCAGTCCGGACCGATTCGGAGTAATCAGGTCCGGTCTCCGGTCTTAAATAATTTTGGATTCCGGGTTCTGGTCTGGTCCGGTCTAGAACTCGGAAATAACCGGTCTGGACCGGAATTTATATATATATTATTTTTAATTTTTTTAATACCCATCCTATATTCCAATCCACTAATCCAACTATCCAAGCCCATTAGCCCAGTCCAATTATTCAAGAATGTGACCAAGCTGAGAGCATACAACCGCATCTCATTAATCAAACATCTCTAATTAATCAACTACAGCTGCATCTCTTTATCGCATACAGCCGCAACTCGTTAATAGGCATAATAGCTCCTCCTTCGTTGCATACTCGTAGGTCGTCAATCAGCTCCTCCTTCACTAGAATCGTTTCTCGCCCTCTGCTTTTCGTTCTCGCCGACTCGTTCTCACCGGATTCGCCGGCTCGTTCTCGCCGGAATCCCTAGCTGCGAAGTGCAGATTGCTGCTGAGTGCCGACAGAAATGAAAAAACATGGAGAAGAGCTATAAATTCAATTTCTACTTTTATTTCCTAGCAATGATGATTCCTAATATGATTCGTGAATGTATTTTGCTTCATTCACTTTATTCATTCATGAATTTTTCTAATATTTGAGTTAATACATTAGTCTCTTAGTTTATGTGATTTTTTAATAAAACAAATCCGGTCCATAATAGGGTAAACCCGGACTGGACCGGAAAATTCAAGGCCGGACCGGTCCGGACTGGTAACCAACAGGTCTGGTCTTCAGTCTTAAGAAATCCCTGATTCCGGTTCCGGTCCGGTCCGGTTCGGTTTTGGACCGGTGCACACCCCTATTCACCGGGTAGTCTTCAAGCCATTCGCCCGATCAGATTAATGGGGATGGTGAGGTCAAGCCTGGTCAGACTTTAAGCCTTCTGTGAATGAAGTCACGATTCCATAGGTTTGACCCCTGACATGCACCCGGTAAGATTACCGGGGTTGGTGAGGTCAGGCAGGATCTGACTTCGGTACCTACCGGGAGCCTGTGAACATACCGGGTGGTACCAATGAGTTATACCCATTAAGGAGTCCTCTGATTCCCAGCCTTGTGGGCACCATCAAGGGCGGGAATCAAATGTTGAATAATTTTGAATTTTCCGGGTGAAGTTGGCAGGAAAGTTTTTACGGAAACCAGTACGTCGCTGCTTAGTTGTCGTGTCGTTTCCCTTTCCCAAGAGGTCATCACTACTAATTATAGTATATACCCGGTGTCATTTTCCCATTGGTCCTCCTTGGCGGCACTTTCCCTATATAAATCGAGGCACCCCCGTATTTTTTACTTACAATCCGTTTCTCAAAAAACTGCTAGGTTGAATCAGCATTTAACCAGTCTTCCAAGTCCTCCGTTCATTCTTATGGTTCTGGAACCCGGTCTCAGGCCTTCGATTCCCAATCCTCTTCAACTAGCTCCGGTTGATGCTTCCTCTTCTACGACCCAGACGGTCACCGTTACCCGAATCGTTTAGGAAGGCTACGGCTGGCTGGATGACCGGCTGCTTCAAGAGCTCCCCTCTCGAGTCTTTTATTTCTTGCAGTGCTGAAGTTCCATTCCAAGTTCCTAACCCCCACTGAGTAGTCGGCCCAGTCTCATCAGGGGACTTTTGTGCCCCTTCACTCCGAAGATCTCTTTGTCAATCCGGAGATCCTGGAGTTCGAGGGGTTTCTCTCTGAGATCGGTCTTGCCTCCAAGGCCGGCCAAGGCTCCAAGTAACCAAAAGTAGCCGGTCGGGAGGCCTCTGCAGAGGAGGATCTGGAAAAGAAGAGGCGAAGGATGAAGCCCCCAGTCCTCCGACATCGGTAAAGGCAAGGGCGAGCCCCGGGACATGGCCCTAATGTCCCGGTCAGACGCTAAGCTGTTCGACGCCTTCTGCGTCGACTTGAGCGGGGTAAACATCCGTTCCCCCCCTTTAATTTCTTTTCAATCCTTGTTTTTCAAACTTCTGAAAATTTTATTGTATCGCCACAAAATATGGCCTAAAATTTATTATAAAACAAAAGTAGTTTTTGTCCAATAAGGAATATTTATACGTTTGACCAAAAATAAATGGATTTTCAAAATAATGACTTTTTGTTAAAAACCTATTTTGAAGGATATGTCTCGAAGAGACGAATCCAACGGTACATTTTATGAATCAATCTGATTTATAGATTTCAAACTATGACGGTTTTAAATATTAAAATTTGTAACTTTGACCCATAAAATAAACTCAATTCAAAAGTGATTTCATAAGATTGAAAATCTTAATCTTTGACACTTGACAATACCATATTTTGGATATAAATCATATATTTTTATCTCATTCATATTATTAAATTAATTTATGACTAAGACAGACCCAGATACTAAGAAAAAATAAAAGTTCTCAGAAAAATATTTTGATTACGTCAAAATTCTAGTTTTGACAGTCTGATTCCAAAAACATAATCCATTTTCAATTCGGAGCAGTTTGGGCGAAAAAGTGCGTACCGTTTTAGATAGTTTATCAGTTACGGAGTAGGAGAATATTTTAAAATCTTCAAATCTCTACTCAATTACGTATAGCAGCCCATGTTCTCCACTAGCCACCCCATTTATTCTCCACTACCTCAACTAATACAACACTCCAAATAATTATATAATACTCCCAAAACTACACCATACACCACCATTCAACATCATCCACCATATCCATCATCAACACCATCCATTTCCTCTCCAATTTTTCTCTCTTTGTCCGCGGCTTCAAGGAGAGAAGAAAACACAAAAAAAATACTCCATTTTTGTGCTAAGAAAGAAGAAGAAGAAGCAAGGAAACCATTCAAGTGTCCAAAATCCTGAAACTAAACATAGCATCCCACTTCTAGGTAAACTCTGAAATTTTCCATCTATTATCTCGAAATACTTTCTAAACCGAATTTGTAGCCCCGGACGATACAAATCCAGCCCAACAAACGGCTCTCGATTTCGTTAAGTAACGAAGAAGATATGGCCAAAATACCGGGACTGCGCCAGTGGTGGCGAACTCTTCGGGTTGGACCATTTTTCCTCACCATATTCATGTTGTTTCATTCCAAACACTCACCATAAACTCTCTAACGATTATTAGGAACATCCGGAAGGTATCGTAGAGAAATTTCGGTGTTGGAATATTTAAGTTAATGAGTTAATTGTCGGAATCGTTGTTCATCGACATATCCGAAATTCTGAACATCAACTTTCCTTTGACTTCAGGTCCGATTTACGCTATCTTACATCTGTTAACTCGAAATACTATCTATACGAAAGTTATAGCCTTACATCTTAGGAATCCACAGAATCAAACGGTTTGAAATTTCATGAAGAAATGATGGAGATATGCCCAAAATACGGCAGGCTGTCCAATTGTGACAAGAATGACAAAGTTGGTGAATTTCGATGTTGTTTCCACTCCCGCTCATCCGTAAGGTTTCGGCCGATGATTTCCAGGTCTGTACCTTTGCGTTAGACTTTTCGAATCATTCATTACATATGTACATGAACATATATGTTAATCCATATGTTGAAATGATCCCAAAATATATATTTGATACATATATAAGTCATCTATATGTTGAGATCAAAATACACCAAATCCATAAAGTTAATATACACATAAGTAAATATAAACTTTGGAAATCAACCCAACAATATGTATATGTTAATCAAAGGTGTTTAAAAGACTTAAAGAAGTATTTTGTACACTCAAAATATCAAGAGAAAGATTCGCAGACCGAAACGGTCGACGCAAACGGTCGATCGTCGTGTTAAAACTTCGAAACGGACCACGACTGTCAGCAGAACGGTCGACTGCCATCGGCGAACGGTCGACCGCCGCCAGCCAGCCGAAGTCCACCATCCATAGCCAGTCAACAACGGTCGACCGCCGGTCAACCACGGTCGACCGTCACGGTACATCAGAATCCGACGAATTGAATCAAAGCACGGTCGACCGCCGTGCCAAACAGTTGACCGTTCCGAGCCCAGTAGTTTGATTAAATGATATTTTAATCATGTTTCAACCAAATAAACTTATGCATGATTATATATTCATATTGTTTGCAAATTGTTCACATCATATCATTCATTTCATCATTCATATTGAAGCATATCACATCATATGCATGCGTAAGAGATCATGTCTCGTGCGTCTCTTATAGCGTGGATGTGCGGGACTTAGCAGTCCGACATCCCTGACCGGGCTTAGTGTACGTACATGGTATTCAGACTTTCGAGTACCACCCCTAATTTTCTAGTCTCCCTCATGAGACTAAGAAGGACATGAGTTCGTCATACCAAATGAGCGAATCTCATAGTGCAAGGTCGTTCCTTGCTGACTAGAATCATACAGCATGAAGTCATCATCAAGTAAAATCATCATGACTATATATGACACCAATTTTGTATTGTAATCATCATCAAAACAATCAAATTGATTAAATTAATGTGCTATCATGTAATTAACAGTAAATATTTATCATCATGATTCATCAAATTGACCATATGATATAATGTGCCATATCATGAATATTGTTATACATTTTTGTGGACGTATATATATGTATATGTTTGTGAATTATTCTACAATTCTAGCGTGGTACCACTCAGCGGTTTCGGTGAGCGTGTAGTATGTATTTTTCGTTGACTACACGTAGGTAACAAGAAGACTATGATGGAACCACTTCTGGAGGACTTTGAGTCAGAGGAGATGCAAGGATGGCAGACAAATGTTTGCTCATCAAAGATTTTAAATGTGTCATGATTTAATTATTATTGTATTTCCGCATTACTCCGAAAATATTTTTAAACGGGTCACGATCCAGAGTATGTAAATTTAATATTTATAAGTAATTGTCATTTTCAAATGTCAAGCGAAATTTTTATTTAACTCCGGTTTAACCTTAATACGTGTAATTCCGGGTTATACGGATTAGGGTGTTACATTTATTCTTCTTAAAGAAGGTCGGCCGGATCAGGAAGGAGTGGGCCACCCGGCTGGTTAGGTCCCAAACGGATGAGAAGCTCCAGATGCAGGCCATGATGGTCGCCGCCGGAAGGATGAAGGGGCAGCCTGGTTGGCGTCTGAAAAAATGAAGGAGAAGCTGGTCAAACAGGCCGAAGCCTACCGGGGTCTCTTCGCCAAGCACGAAGGCTTGCTCAAGTCCGCCAAGGAGTGATGAGCAGCCTCAACGGAATATCGTCGAGTTTGAGGAGAAGGCAGGGCAGACGAGCCAGCTGGAAGAGGAGAATGCCCAGTTAAGCACTGAGTGTTAGAATAAAAGACCAACGCTAGAGGGGGGGTGAATAGCGTTTGTCGGAGAAATCGCAGGAATTGAAAATTTAAAAGAGAAGTAAAGAGAAGAGTAAGAGGCACACCGAATTTTACCCTGGTTCACCACAACTTGTGGCTAATCCAGCCTCCCGAGAGACTCTCTCGAGCTACACTACTAACTCGTTAAGCTTACGGGTGCTTAACAAACCGTTACAACTTGAGAGTTCGAGTCACACGAACCTCAACGAATCCTTCAAAGGAAACAGACCTTCCTTTGAATCAACCGAGAGAGAGATAATATCTCTCAACGTGTCTAAGAACACAAGTACACTCAAGAACGAGACTCTCTTATAGAGTAGATTATGAGTAAACTAAGTACGCTCAAGAACAACTCAACCTTCACACAAGTGGCTCTAGAAAGCTATGGAAAATGATGATATTTGAATGCAATGAAAGTATAGATGTTGTGAAGTGAATTGGTGAGAAAAGCAGACCCAAACACCCCTTTTTATAGTGCAAAATTAGGCTCCAACGGGCCAATGCATTAAAGGAGTGATTAGCTTGATTTATGGGATTGAAAAGATTTGGGATCTGCAGAATATTGGCTTCCCATCGATGTTTAGAATCAACCATCGCTGGTAAGCCAATTATTTCTTCTGTTTTGAAGTCAACGGTCACCTACCCATCGATGGGTACAAGCTTCCCATCGCTGGGTGGGAGGTTGACTTCCAAACAAGGAAAGAATCAACCTTTAATGACCACCAACGGTCATGCCTTCCCATCGATGGNCCATCGCTGTTTGGCATGGTTCTGGAAATTGGTTTGGCTGAGGAGCCGCTTACCCATCGATGGGAAGATCTTCCCATCGCTGGATGAGTGGTTAGTCAAGAACCCATGGTTTTTGCCTTAACCACGGCCTAGCCAACCGATGCGAAACCCGACCGAAAAATTCAAAGTTCTCCAAAATAAAAACCAAGTGTTTAAAACACTTATTTGATGTATTTGGCTAATAAATCGAGTAAGACACTTTAAAAACCACGTCATTTAAGTGAAAACCACGGCTAGCCAAGTTTTATGCCGTTTTTAATGATTTTTGTCAAACGACCAAAAGCGAAAGATGGTTTTCAAGGTGTTTTTGTTGGAGAACTGTTTAAACATGCCAAAGAGTAAGAACCAATCATAAAAAGTTGAAAACCACTTGGTTGGTTCGGACGCCAAAAACCATAGCCAATAACCGAGAGCCGAACGCCGGTTTCTGAAACCCGAACGCCGGATGGCTTGGTTTTTGGTTTGGGCGAACACCAAGTGTTTTTAATGACTTAAACATGTTTGAAAAGCATTTTTATGATTTAAGAAGTGCAATGAAGGTTTTTAGCCTAAAGAGCCAAGGTGTAAAGATTGGGTCGGTCTTGATCACAATGAAGACCGACTCAACGACACTAAGACTAAGGTCTTCGTTCTTGGTCTTCTTTTAGCTCTTGTTCTTGTCTTCCTTCTTCGCCTTGTATATTCAAAGTTTGACATGATCACGGCGGTTTGGCATTATCAAAACCTGTCATAAAAGCAAACACGGCTTTAGTACGAAAACGTGACATGCCCGTGTTTCAACACTGAGCTGGAGAGGGAGCGCTCCGACTGGGCTGTTCACGCTGCTGCTTGGGTTGCATAGTAATCAGAGAAGTTCACTGCCTTGGCACTTCCTGACCGGGAGGTCAGCACATGCTACTCCCAAGCGTCCCAGCAACGGATTGATGACATTGGGACCTTCGGGTTTGAAACCGGTCAGTACCAGGAGCACCATGGACTGTACGAGATCTTGAGCAGCCGAGTGCAGGATTTTGATCCCAAGGCCTTCTCTCTCTGTGAACCCCACGACGAAGAGCCCATCGCCCCCTTCGAGGGGATCTAGCTTGTAAACATTTTCTTTTTTTCAACTTTATGAATGCACCCCAATACTTCCTTCACTTCATTTTTTCAACTTTATGAATGCTGGCGAGTAGTCACTTTAGAAACAGCAGGTCTGTATCCACGCGGTCTAACACAATTCACCATTTTTCCTAAAAGACTAGTGTTTCGCCTAAGAAAAGATCGACCCAACCAATCTTTTTCCAGGTGGTTTTTACCCGAGCGAGAATATTTCACCATTGTTTCAATTCTGAAAAAAGTATGGTGTCCTTCCTAGGAATAGATGGACCTCCCCGAGTGGTTTTGACCCGAGTGAGAATGTTTCACCATCTTTTCCTGAAAAAAACATGGTGTCCTGTAGGGGTGGGCGTGAAATCTGTTCCTGTTGGACCGTCCCGAAAAATCTCGGATCCGTTTTGTAATTGTACCGATATATTGGGAAACATTTTTTGTCCCGAATCCGTTCCGTCCTAATATCAAATGGAACATGAGCGGGACATCTTAAATTTATACCGATCCGTCCCGTTTGTCCCGTTTCATCTACTCTACTAATATATAATACTAATTCTAGTCCAAAATCCAAATACACTCATTCTTTAATTAATTAGTTATTTAATTAAATTAACTTCATGAGCTTGAAATTTATTTGGACCCGTTCTACTCATTGTTTTTTTGTTGGATGGCTAGATGTTTCTTTTTCTTTGAATGAAATGTCACACTCTTCCCCTTCTTATATTTGCGATTAGGACAAAGTAGGACGACCCGAATCCATCTCGTTTTATTCCGACCCCGAATTTTATGGGACAAATCGGGATTAGATTGTAATCCGAACCGTTCCGGACCGTTTATATATAACGGGACAAGACGTGGGACAACCTAAAATCAAGACCGTCCTGATCCGTGCCAACCCCTAGTGTCCTGCCTGGGAACAGATGGACCTTCCCGGGTGGTTTTGATTCGAGTGAGAATGGTTCACCATCTTTTCTGAAAAGTATGGTTTCCCGCCTTGGAACAGATGGACCTTCCCGTGTGGTTTTGATCCAAGTGAAGATGTTTCACCATTTTTTCTGAAAAAGTATGGTTTCCCGCCCGGGAACAGATGGACCTTCTCGGGTTGTTTTATAATCCTCAATTCATTGAACACTGACCGGGCGGATGGGTCTGCAACCTTCCCCGACCGGTCTTACCATTTTCTCTGAAAAAGTATGGTGTCGTGTCTCGCCTGGGCGGTTTCGTAATGCTCAATTCGATTGAACACTGATGGGTGAATAGGTCTTCAACCTTCCCCACCGGTCTTACCATCTTTTCTGAAAAAGTATGACGTCCTGCTTGGGCAGTGATGGACTCGGTCCATCTGATTCACTTGGCTTCTACCCGAGTAGAAAACAAGCCATGTTTTTCTCGTTTAACATGACGAAGCCGGGATGCTCTCCTTTTTTGGTCGCGTCATTCGAGACCGTGTCGATACGAATTAACAATTTGACTAGACTGGCAGGTGTTTTTTTGCTGAAACCGATGTGCGACCGGTGTACCCAATTCGATTGGGCTCTGGCTTCGTTGGAAAATAAGTGCAAGACCGGTGTGAAACCAGTGTACCAGTTCGACTGGGTCACATATTTTCTTTGTTTTGTTTTTTTAAATGCTTAATTCGATTGAACATTGACCGGGCGGATGGGTCTGTAACCTCCCTGACCAGTTTTCCGAGTAGTCTTCAGAAAAAGATCAACTTTATTTAACATTGGCACGGTACATATCCGATCTTAGTGGATGATAAAATGGTTGTTCAACACCACTTTTTTCTTTTCCTCCCGACGAACTCTCTTTAAGAGCCTCTCCAAACGTGCTTCTGCTCTGTCCACCCGGTCGTTGGGTGGTTTAGTATGCATGCGCGACGCCAATATGGGCTGGCTTTCTGCCTGGTCTTTCGCTCCAAACAGCCGGCTGTGTTGGGGAACATCACGGGGACAAGGTTCGGAGCGCATGTTCTGACCGGGTCGCCTGTAACCTCCTAGTTTGTCGAACGCGCTTGGCTGGGGGATCTCCACCCTCAACCGCTCCTTGACCGGTCAGTTCTGGTTCCATCCTTCGTGTCCCAGCCACTGGAACGCTGACCATCGTGAACCTTCCGGCTGGACGGCTTTGCCCTGCAGCTTTTTCTAGCCCCTGGAAATATCCCAGTCTTCGTCCTTGCTGCGTACAGAGCTCACGTCCCCGTCGGGTGTTACATGAGTGGGGAGTTTGTGGGATCTGCTCCTCTTGGACCGAGAAGGACCTGCCCTTTCCATCTCCCCATCCAGATTTGTAGGGATGACCAACCAGGATGACCAACCAGGATGACCGACCGGGTGGTAACCGCGAGGGATGCCCCAGCATGTTGGGAATAGATGTATTTTGAGCCAGAGCATGGGGATACATCCCAAGGGTGAAAAGAGTAAATCCCCTGGGTTGTTGGAACATGGGCATAAATTGTCCAAAGTTTTGGAGGGCCTGACTAGGCATTGTTTGAGTAGTGAAGGTGGTGATCATGGGGGAGAAAAGTGCAGGAAATGATATGATTCCTCCCAGAATCAGGGTAATGCCCTCCGTCGGGGTGGAAATTTTTGAAATGACGAGTTTTATATTGCCATTGGTCATGACTTTTGTAAAAGGTCCCACGGGTGGTGCCAATTTAATTGTGGAAAACCAACGTAATGCTAAGTTACAAAAAGCGGAAGGGTTGTAGGTGGATACACCTGTAACCCGAGTAGTTATTAATATTGTAGGGACCAATTACAAAGTTACAAGCCATGTGGATTAATTAAAGCATGCCTTTATACTGAGGCTTTTACTCCTATTTATAATAATAGAAAACTCACTGTTCAGCATTACTGTTCATCTCAAGTCATCCACTCGGGTAGTTTCCAAGTCATCCACCCGGGCAGTCTTCAAGTCATCCACCTGGGCAGTCTTCAAGTCATCCACCCGGGCAGTCTTCAAGTCATTCACCGGGCAGTCTTCAAGCCATCCACCCGGTTAGATTAACGGGGATGGTGAGGTCTAGCCTTGTCAAACTTTAAGCTTTCTGCGAATGAAGTCACGATTCCACAGGTCTGACCCCTGACATCCACTCGGTTAGATTACCGGGGTTGGTGAGATCAGGCGGGATCAGACTTTGGTACCTCTCGGGAGCTTGTGAACTTACCGGGTTATACCCATCAAGCTCCATCTCCGAGGGCCCCTTTAGACCCGGTCGGACGATCACTGAGAGAGAGAGAGAGTAAATTGGGCTTTGATCGCAGATTGATGGCAAAGAGTAAAGCCTACACCTACTTGCAGAGGCCTTGCTTAGCATAGTTGCCTCCCAACACAATTGACAGAAATAGAAAATGGAGAACTCCCTAGATAAAGTTAACAATTTATGAAAATACTATAATAGGAGTCATAAATCTTTTAAGAGCAAAATAGGAATTCACACTTTCATTGTCACAATGCTACACTCACTACATTGTCACATTGCAACTGCGATATTATCACCGGAACACTGTCATTTGTCGCTGCCGATCACCAAAGCAGGGGCGGAGGGGGGGCTGCTGGGGCACGTGCCCTCCCGGCGAAGAGGTGTGACCTGCGATGTCAGTCAACGGCGGTCGTAGTGCCCCCTATGCTAAAGTCGCTTCCCGATTGCCTTGCTTTGAGTTTTCCGATCTTCTTTCAAATAAGAGTAGATGATTTTTTAAAGCAAATACAAAAGGGTGTCGTCACTCTATTCGAAAGACAATGCGGCTCCAATAGGTCATTTTTAGTTTTTCACTCCGATTGGGCCATTTTAAACAAACCACCCCTTCCAGCCCAAATGTAAAGTGAAGATTGAATAAGGATTCATATTTTAATTGTTTTTTAAATATTTGGAGTTCTGTTTTTCTATTTAACTTCATTTGGTGTTTATTAGAGTGTATTATGTTGTCCAAAAAATTACTCCTTCCATCCAAAAATATTCTTCCCGTTTGACTCTTTACGGTCTCGAATGTTGCACTTTGACCGTTAATATCTATATTTATACATGTATATATTTTATAAAAATTTGATATATCAAAACTACGTTAGAATATGAATATATTGATATTAATTTTATATTATAATACAATGTATTTTTTTCTACATATCAGAGTCAAAGTTTACAAACTTGACCAAGAAAAGTCAAATAGAAAAATCATTTCTGGACGGAGGGAATAATTTTTTGTCATTATGAAAAACCATATAATTAATAATAATATTATTTTATTGCTATATCTGGAATGATTTGAGATAGAATCTATCGCATTTTATGTTAAATCATATTCCCTCCGGTTTTAAAAAAAAATTTCTGTTTTAACTTTTTTCATATATTTGATTTGTTGTCAAAGAGTGTAATTATTTAACCAAAAAAATCAAATTAGAAAATGTTTTTAGGATCGGAGGAAGTACTATTCTTTAATAAAAAAATCCACGCCCCGAACCCCTTGTAGTGTGCCCCCGCTCGCTAGCTTCTGGCTCCGCCACTACACCAAAGTACCGTTGAAGATCGTCGACGATTGAGTAATCACAATGATATATTACACTGTCACCAATTCCAGCAACTATTAATACGTAATCTTACACCACATTTTCATAACATTCATATTTTGATCTTAAAAAACATAGGTCTCCTATGTTGACATTTTCAAATTTTTGTTACTCCAATGGAGATTTCTCGTATTAAGAAAATTTAGAGAAACCAAAGTCCATACATTCCATAGACGCATTCTAAAAAAATTGGAGAAAGAAGAGCGCCACAGTAAAAAACAGTGTAGAAGATTACGCCCGTTGAAGCTACAGCAAGCAAGAACAACCCCCATTTCCCCAACAGCTAGGGTTTCTGCTCATCTCTTCCCCAATTTTAGATTCAAATTCCCCCAATTTTCTGATTCCACCCTACAAAATCAGCTATCACCACCTCATACCTTCTTTGCTCTGTGAGATTCCCCGCCCCGGCACACCAGCTGTGTCTGTATCGCAAGAGCTGAGCTGAACTGAAATTAGCAGTGATGGCGAAAACCAAACCTGGGAAGAAGGATCTTGATTCCTACTCCATCAAAGGCACCAACAAGATCGTCAGACGTAATGAACCTTGGTTCTCTTTGTTCTTTTTTCTTTCTCTCGTCGGTTCTTTATATGTAGTGCTCGAGTTCAGTTTAAGTTGCTGGTTTGATTTTTCGATCTTATAGAGCTGGTTTGGTTGGGGAAAAAAGGAAAGTGTTTTTGAGCCTGGCTCACCAGATTATAAGTCCACACACCTTTATTCTTTTCAATCTTTCGCGGTGAAAAGAATTACACGTTCTCAGATTATGGATTTTGAGTTTCGCTTTGTCGGGCTTGAAATGAAATCGTGTGCTCGCAGTGTTATGATATCTGCGTACGTTACCTTTTCTGATTCCGTATATCTCTTCGTTAAGAAAGCATCTTTGAATTCTCTATATAAGGAATGTAATGCATTGGTTAGTTTTGCAGTTTATTTTGTTTTGCTCGGCGAGTCTGAATGTTACTGCATTGGTTAGTTTTGTTTTCCTGTTTTGTAGAGCATTCACAATTAAAAACGTGATTTTTTTCCCATTTCCAGCTGGGGATTGTGTACTAATGAGACCGGCAGACACGGATAAACCGCCATACGTGGCAAGAGTTGAGAAGATAGAGGCTGACCACCGTAACAATGTGAAGGTGCGGGTACGGTGGTACTACCGCCCTGAGGAATCTGTGGGTGGTCGGAGACAGTTTCATGGGGCAAAGGAACTATTTCTGTCAGATCACTACGATATGCAGAGTGCACACACCATTGAAGGGAAATGCATCGTGCATTCTTTCAAGAACTACACTAAGCTAGAGAATGTGGGCCAAGAGGATTACTTCTCTAGGTTTGAGTACAAAGCTGCTACCGGAGCATTCACTCCTGATCGTGTTGCTGTGTGAGTTCTTCATCCCTCTGCTATAATATTCTTTTATTATTATAAAAAATACTCCCTTTTAAAAAATACTCTTAATTCATTAATAATTTATTTGTTCTGAAGGTATTGCAAGTGTGAGATGCCCTATAACCCTGATGACCTCATGGTACAATGTGAAGCATGCAAGGATTGGTATCAATCTTAATTCCTGCCTTTCTGAAATAAGTTTTTTAGGTTGCTGCTTACTACTCGGATTTATTTTAGCCTATTATCAAACATTAAAAGCTTTCTTTCCGGTATTGTTCTCATCATAATAAGATGGACTACCCATCAAATGTCATTGTTTTTAGTTATGGTTTGATCCATATCCCTCTTTAATACGAAGAGACTCTGATAAGTGATAAATAACTTATAGTTCATTCGTTCAATGATGCAAATTGCAAAAGATAAAGATAAAGCTTATTTCTTTGTGGTATTATTAGAAGTTAGAACACTACATCTATGATGTATCCAAGTTTCATGACCATAAAGTATTGTCAACCTACTTGTAGAGATGTTTTGGTTTTTGTGCTTAATTAATATGGGTTCAATAAAATTGTAGGTTTCACCCCTCGTGTATGGGTATGAGCATCGATGAAACCAAAAAATTAGAGCATTTCTTGTGTTCGGACTGTTCAGCTAATGACGAGGCTAAGCGGCCCTTGAACTCATTTCATGTACGTCCAACTGCTGAGTCGAAGGTTAGTGTGACATCCTTCTATTTGGTTATCATCTGCTCTGGAAGTGCAATAGTTTATGGTCTAACACTAAATGATTGATGCAAATCTATTATCGAGTCGATAGAAAATTTTCAAGTATACATTTGTTGTCTACACATTACATCTCCCTCAACGAACTCTTAAAATCTTTCATTCACCGTCTACCATTTGAACACGTTGAGATGCATGGGAAGGATATTGGTTATCCAAATGTCAAGCTTTAATGAAATTTGTTATCGGATCAAACTCTTTGATCTCTGCCTTTATAAATGGATCTAAGGTTTGCCCTTTTCTGGCTCACAATGATTCAATTACTCCGTATAATAGCATATGATTATTTTTTTTCCATCGATTCTTTAGAGACAAATCAAGAAACTTGTTCGTAATCCCGTCCATTGCAGGTGGAGACTAAACGGAGAAAGAGATGAGTAAAGTAGAGGGGCGCGATACAGAATGCAGAATTGTGAAAGATCAGATTTGTTGCATATAAAGCTGGAAGGAGTGCCCTATTGTTGTGTTTGTTGAACTGAACACCTGTACAGTGGTGAGGAGAAGAACAAGATTGTGGGGTGGTGGGCTTTTCCAGCAAAGCCAAAGGCTTTTTCTTACTTTAGTTACTGTGGGCTAACTTGGTTATTTTGTGGAGTAAAACAAATATTGCTTGTGTGCCCTATTATGGGATTTACCAGTACTGTCACTGTTTGTGCTCTCCATCTGAGTTGAACCCCAATGCACTGAGAAAAGTAATAACAATGAGGATTAAACAGGAAACATGTTGATCACTTGCTCTGTGCCCCTTCTTTTCCTTGTGTTCTAAGCATATGATCCCACCAAGTGTGTGCATGAATTTGGCTGCTTTGTCGAACTGTGTTTCTTTTCTTGCACAAAGCAGAAGCTACTCGTTAATGCCGTAATATGACGGGTAAATTTCAATGATGGTATCCGAACTTTGAGCGATATACTCCCTTCGTTCTTAAAAGATTGTCACATTTTGACTTTTTTGGTCAAATTGTGACACCACGGATTAAATAAAGCTTAAAATAATTAAATATTACAAAAATTTGATATTTTTAAATTATATTTTAAAATAAACTCAATTTTACTAAATTTAGATTATAACTAAATATATTTTCTATAATTTATGGTCAAAGATGCTACAATTTGACAAAAAAGTCAAACTGTAGCTATCTTTTAAGGACAGAAGGAATATTGTATTGATGCTCAAACTTTATTTCTTATTGCAAAAATACTTGAACTTTGAAAGAATTTCACAAGCGCTTGGAACCGGTTTTCAAGGTTACTATCAAGCCACTTTGGGCTAACTCTGAATTTACATATTCCTAAATTTTAATTTTGCCCTTTTTCTCATATTTTCAACCGTTTCTTCTCCAAAAAAGGGTAGAAGTGGGAAGATGAAAGAAGAGGAAGTCTAAGAAAAATAAGAAAACTAGTTTGGTCAAAATAAAAGATTAGAAATATATAAAATTGTAATGACACATAGAGCAAGTTGATAGTAACCTGAAAATTGGTATGGAACTTTCGTGAAAATTTTTCAAGCAAGAAAAAATAAAATTTTAGATACCAAAATGATAGTCTTTTGTTAAAGTTCAGATATCGTCGGTGAAACTTACTCCTAAGATTGCCAATATTCCAAAGAAAATAATTCCACAAAAATAGAATGGCATGAAATCTTCAGGCTTCCACATAGAGTTCTCATCCATGATGATGGCTCAAACGGACTGTTTCATTTAGTACACAGTCTTGAGTCAATGTTACCATGAAACTGTTAAGGCTAAACATAATGAGCAAACAAACTGGGAATAAATGAGCAGCTTAAACTCTTTGGACGATGACTGAATTTGCCAGCCCAGCTTGCTCTATAGTCTGCTCCAGATTGGCGAGCTGTTTTGGAGGAAACCCCACAGTCTGCAGTTGATAGGTCCTTGGGGCACCGGGCCTTGATGCATCGATGAACCCTCTAATATCTCTCACCGTGTGGTGGGTGTTGAACCGGGAAACCATGCGGGTCCCATCAGCTAGCCTGAGCTGGATTGACGTGGAAGGTCGTGTTTGATCGACCGAGAGTCCTATGGATGGGGCAGGGGCAGTGGGGAAGGAGGGAGCCCTATCGCTTGACTCGACCTTTTTGTCCTCATTGACAGAGCTACTAGCTAAGGTTCTTCCCACACCGTGAAATGGTGTTTTCCGCTTCTCTTGTGCCTAAACAAAATGCAAAATTGGAAGTGTAAGTACATATTGCTGCACCAGATTCACTGCCAATTCAGTACCACACGGGTGCTAAGTAAAATAAGAGCAGATATCGTACAGGGCAGTTCTCCTCTTTCCTTATTAGGCTGACATGAACAGCTGTCTTCCTATCTGGTGGCTGAAGTTCCAGTGGACACTCTGAATTCCCCACACTCTGCATCATAATCCAAAACATATATACTATGGTCAGGGCTTCTAATGAAGCATAACAACAAGAAGATGTGAATGATGGTGTCATTTAAACAGTATTTAATCCTGAATTAGAAAAGAACATGCTAACTATTGGTTTCACTGCAGTATTAATATGAATTGGATGATTAAGGAGACTAAATTTAAATGAATAAAAGGAAAAACAAAGTGACTAAATAACATACATACATACATACATATATACATACACACACACACACACACACACACATATATATATATAATTGGGGAGATGCGGAGTAGACCTAAGCCAAATCCTAGTAGTAATTGACACTACCTCCAAAAAGGGTCGATTTTCGGGGTCATCCAACCTTCTAAGAGGTCCATCATCTACGGTGAACCCATTCCTCCAGAAAGTTATAGTATGGTTGACAACTTCAGGCGGCTGAGGAGCAGAAGCAACAGTTTCACCAGTGAGTCTCCTTGCAGTTCCAACAAAGCTTCTTGAACTTGGAGGAGGAATGTTCTCAACAGGTCCACCTACAGGTTGAGTCTGTCTGGCTTGCCTAAATAGTGCGTCCACATCATTCATTTTAGATGGATCCTGCACAAGCATCCCACTACAAAAAAAGATATGCAATAGTGAAATATTAGAATACTTTAGGGCTCAGAGAAAGTTAATTTAAAAAAATGAATAATCTATGATGCAAAAAAGTGAGAACAAATTGCATTTGCTTAGAAACACTAAAACATCAACAAAGATAAGAAGATAGAATCAATGAAACAAACAAGATTGGAAAATGAAAACAATACTTGGAGAAAATATCTCAGGAATATTTTACTCCCTCCGTCCGGAAATGATCTTCCCACTCTACTTTTTTTCCCGTCCGGAAACAATCTTCCCATTCTACGTTTTTATCAACCCTCTTCCAAAAATACCCTCAAGCGGTTGTTTTTTTCAGATCTGGATCGAAATATTGCGATTGGCACTGCCTATTGTTATTCGATTGAAAATTTGAGCAGAAGAGTAGATTGAAGTTGTGCCCTTCTTCGATCCAGCGCATAGAAGATCCTAGGCCGCTGTAGTTGGGATCTAGACATCTGTTTGTGTGGAAAGATATTCACGGCAGAGGAAGCCTTTGCCGGCTTCCGATGTGCGTTCTTCTATCGAAAATTTGAGGAGATGAATTGAATTTGGGGCTGATTTGCGCAGAGAAGGGTAGGGGTATTTTGGCCAAATTGTACACAAAGTCAACTTCCCATAAAAATGAGGAAAAGTCAAACTGGGAAGTTTTATTCCAGACGGAGGGAGTACAATATTGCACAAAACTTGCAGACACAAAAAGATACCAATTATGCATAAAAGAATCCTGAAAATAGAAACACAAAAGGGGCTTTGAAAAAGACTGCTTTATGAGCACATAAATCCACATCCATCAACTTAAACACATAAACAAAATGTAAATAAATACACTAAATGGAAGGGAATTACTAAATAGTTTTATTCAAGTGCAAATGTTCTCGGAAACAAACTCTCTACTCCATACGAGTAGGGGTAAGGTATCTTGCCCCCTGACCTCCTCTTTGGATATACAGGGTTTGGTTTGGATAACTCAACAGCAAATGAGTGGATTCCTGCCATAATGTAAAGCCGAGAAAACAGGCACAAAATATAAATGTCCATTAAAAAATTCTAGTGATGTACATGGACCATAGTTCGAAACCCAAATTGAATTCTGAAGGGTGTTTGATTTTTATTTTTGGGGGTGAGGGGGGATTATTATTTTTATTTTTAGGTGGTTATTTATACTTAATGGTAAGTGCTAGCGACCTTGTGCGGCGATATTATTAGTAGCTATAGGGATTTTCAGATGTGGTGTGATGTGCGCATATTTGTACGAAGATGTTATTATACTCCTAATTTAATATGCATTTTGGGTATGGAATGAGATAAGCAGAAAATACTTTTGGTGCTAGGCTTCCCACTCTTCACCTATAGCAGTAAAAATTCGTGACAATTTGGTGCTTTTATTGAGAGGTTTCTCCTCACGATTTTATCCCATTTTATGACAAATTACAATCACAATTGATGGGAAGGGGCCCCCTCTTCTGTGGTGATGAATTTGAGAACTGGCTTAAGAAAACTAGTAAATATTTTACATCACATAACATTGAAGCTGAAGGTGACTACAATCGGATTGAGGAAGCTCTGCCGGTTTTGTATGGATGTGCTAAAGATTGGTTATAGCAATTAGACAAGACCGGTCATTGTTAAGCTACATGGAACAAATTTGTGGAAGCCTTATCAATTCAGTTTGGAGCTAAAGACAATATCACGAATTATGGCATATCTGGGGTGTTGATGGATGCAGAGAATGAAGTTTCAACTCTCAACCCCTCCATCACCCACGTTTGTGGAGGAATCAGTAGTATTTTTTCTATTTCTGCTTCCAAATTCGACGAAAAAAGGAATTATAGATGATCGTGACAAGTTTCTAGCAACGCTTTAAGGTATAGGTTCTTCCAATCCATTGCATCAATATCAATATGGAGTGCAATTCAAAGTGGCCACTCCATTTTGCTTTGCTTGTGTATTGATAAAAGCATAGAACAAATCTTTGTATATTCGATAACGAAGCACTATACTGAGGTCAACAAATAAACAAGTATAATACCTCTTTTCTCCTCCAGTATAATACTCCTGAGGATTATCGGAGTCGCTCCCGGATCCTTGCGCGCCTTGACGATTCAGATCAGAGAAAGTGTGAATTCGGCCACTCCTCCGGCCAGTACCGCTGCCGCCAGCCTGTGAAGCGTTCTTAGGTTTGGAAGAGCGGAGATTGTAAGGGCTAGAAGAAGGGTGAGGCTGTTGGGAGCTACGATCGGGAGAAGGGGTCCGAGAGCGAGACGGATTCGAAGAGGGGTCGTCGGATTCAGTAGGAGACTGTGGGTCACCTGCGGCGGAGACGGGGTCGGAAGGATTGGTTTCGATGGAGGTGGTGACGGCGGTTTCCATGTCGAAGTTGTGGCTTTCGAGGTAGAAGAGAGCTTCATGAGGATTGGTAGAGGAAGTGATCTCGCAGAATGTGTTGATTAGGGTTTCTGTCTCCGGATTCACATTGATTTTGTTCTCCATTGCTTTTCTTCCTTTCTGCTGATTTCTGGGTTTTGCTTTTATCTTTCCCTATCAGTAGCTTCGCATCGCAGGCTTCTATACCATCTTCTTCCTTGTCCTTCGCAGTTAGGTTTATGGGCAAGAGTGACTTTTATTGGTATATTTTAATTAAAATTACTTAAACTAAAAACATTATTAAATAAAATTTTAGGGAGCGTCTAAAATGACACCAGTTACTTATACACCAGTTACTTATATATATATATATATATAGGGGTGAGATCAGGTGAGAAGGCTCTTTGGTGAGAGAAAAAAGAATGATTTTCAGGCCTTGGATCTTGTTGATCACACGGCTGTGGGGGTCCAAGCATTTTAAATAGCCAACTTTTTAAAAGGAAAGGAAGGATGCGGTGCATTAAAAAAGGGAAGACAGCTGTACGAAGGGTATTATGGTCTCAATGAATGAATAATTACTCGTTGCTATGGCGGAATAGTCGCATCTGTCTCACATCTCTACGTTCCAGGGGATCGACGCACCATCTCCGATCTTCATCATTTTGTTTCCGCTTCTCGATTAGAAAATAAATTCATCATCTCCGGCGATGTCTGATTCCATAGCTTCTACTCTCCGGTTCCTTTTCAAGCTATGGCGTTTGAATCTGAACATGATATGTAGGTATTTTCATCCATTTTAGGGTTCATATATAAATTATTGGAGGGGCACAATTATGGGTTGAGGTAGATGTTTTCAGAATTTGTTCGTAATTGAGACGAGTGGTTAAACTTTTCCTCTCTGCTGGATTTTCTCAGTGTTCATGTTCACTGGAGTACTTTATTAGTAAGAAGTGCAACATAATTTCATTATGGTGCATTCTTCACCGACAGATAGTGCATCATGCACCTGTTGTGATACAGCTTTCAGAAAATGTGTTATTCTGGAAAGATGAAATAATGAAATAATGAATCCTTATGGAAGAACATCATTTTAATCAATGAGCTATAATCCAACCCTTTGCTATAAAGGGCCAAATTAATTAAATTTTGTTGATATAAAGGGCTAGATTATATTTATTTTTAGGTGGTTGATAATATTTACTATAAAGGGTTGAATTAGTCCATCAATTTTTATGTTTTATTCGAAAGTTGATGTATGAAGTTTATTATATGCATTATATAAGAATTATGTTTATATAATTATTTGTGCATGAGCATGATATGACGTATGTCCTACAGTTGAGATTGATGTTGAGTCATATGTTTATGAAGATGAAGCTCAAGATGATGCAAATGTAACAAGAAGATGATGCAACAGTACATGATGATGGTGCATACAAACCTGAAGAGGATGCATTAATAAATTTAAGGGGCATTGAGACACATTGGTGATATGATTTAGCGGAGTGATTATATTGTAACGTGTAGTTTCTAGTTTTTTAGAATGGTGTTACTTTCTTTTTGTTATATGGCGGGGACATCTTTTGATGTTGTGTTGGAGACTTTTTTTTTGTTTTTGTGCTTGACCTTATCTTCTTTTTCTGTAATATGTATTATTTTTTATACATATTCATTGTTATGCTAAAATTTCAAAATAGTGCACCATAGTTTGTTGAAGAGTGCACCATAATGCTTGTTGAAGCTCATTATAACACAAAAAGCTTGAACTTTAGTATTACAACTAAAACATAAATTAAATATTTTATTATAGAGTTTAAAGTGCATAGATGATCAAATGTGCCCTATGTGTAAAAAGAACATATGTAATAAAAACATGTGTTTTAAAGTGTTAAATAGTTAGAAATATAGAATGGAATGAGGCGGTGAAATGAGATAGGTTTTTAAAGCTATATGGATGTGGACAATGTATGCTTAAAATAAAAATAATACCATTACAATAGTGAAAATCAAACCATAAGGATAAAAACAACACAACATATCATTCATAGTCTAGAGAAAAACACATTTTTTCCTAAATGGATGTTGTAAATTTGTGTCAGTCTTACAAAAGTACAAGTTGAAAATAAGCCCTAATTTAAAACATAAGATTTAGAAGAAACATTGTTTAGACTTTAGAGAGAATTCTTGGATCCTCAATCTCCCTTTCATCCGTGAACTCTATGTGAACATGCGCAACTTGTTTGCCGGCTTTTTCAGTTGTGCATTCCTTATTCGACGACTCCCTTACGAATCAAAGATGCAATTTTTTAGATGTCATTGCTGTATCATTTTCTTTATATTTAAATGCATCTTTTCTTATTCCATCTGCACCATATACATATAGAAAAGTTAGAGTTCATCCATGCAAAATTTTATATTTATTCATCCATACCATAAATTCATTGGAACTAAAGAACTCATGTATGTTGTTCTAACATGAACACTGAGTAAGATCTATCAGAATGTAACACCAACCCACTATAATGCATCTCAAAATGCCTCTTAAACACATAAAGGTATTTTTGTGACATTGAAAAGCAGTGCATTCACAACATGGGTTGGTGCATTTCAAATTACTCGCTTACTATGACCTACACCTCTTTAGCAAGAAATAAATAAAAAAAACTAGTGATTCCTGTTATGCCAAAGATGATGCACTTTAGTCTCTTAACTATGCACAGTATATTACCCACAAAATCTAAGAACCCTAAAAGCAATATTTTTGTTAACAAAAGTATCACCTCTTTTGAATCATTGTTCTTAACAAAATATGAAATATCAAACTCATTCAAGGCCCCGACCTTAAATAAACGTCATTCAAACCTATGCAAAAATTAAAAGAACTTAGCAATTAACGATTGTTTGACAGCGCCGCTCTGCACTTGCAATGTCATAGGAAGGGGGTGTGCTTATCTCACGTCCATCTCCTTCCAAACACTCGGTTGACAAATGCGCTGTCCAAGCAAATATGTAAGAAGGACTTAATCCCATTGGCCAATAATCTGATGCATTACAGCATACCTTTAATGCACAATTGAAGGAAAAACCATAACTGAACAATAGAGCAAGATAAGTGTATAATACACAACAAACTTAAAAACATGAGGCACGAGTTCATAGAGATAATGAATCACAAACAATTCAAATGAATTCTTATAAAAAAAAGACAAATATGTAGTAAAAATTATCGAATTGCTTAAGAAATCATGACAGAATCGTAGAGTACAATCCAAAAATTATCGAGTACAACCCAAATTATAAGAAAATGCCACGTCGCACCCAAATTGCTAATCATTAAATTAGATAAACAAAATCAAATCACCCAAAATTACAATACTAGTAGTTTGCACCAAAGACATCTTTGGAGTATTTTTTCAAACATGTGGTGTGCAATCTTTGGTGGTATGACTTGGGAAAATCTTTGAGGCATTTTGTTAAACATATCATACTTTACAAATCAAACAATCTCGAGTCCACAGGATGTGCACTGGAGTGTTATACTAATTCACTAAAATACATACTATGCTTTACAAATTAGTCTAGAGTCTACATAAAATGCATTACAAATACGTTATAATGCACGGAAGAGTCATTATAATGCACTAACGATTTTTAAATCAATTTCAAGTCCATCTAAAAAACAATGACAGAAACCATGTTATAACTATGAGAAAAATTGAAATAAAAGGGAGTAAAAAAAGTCTTAAAAGTACAAAAATTGCCTTTATTTTGAACAAATATGGAACAAATACCTTAAATTGTGTATACCAAGACCAATAACTGCCGAATGAAGTCAAATTCTAAAACTTCCTGCAATTTTTAGGTATGCCAAGACCAATAGCTACTTCAGAATCTCATCCCTCGCTACATCTGCACTCATGCCCCATCCACCGCAACCTAACTTTTCAACGGTAGCCTCACCGCTGCACCTCGTCGTCGTCTCTCCTTCCCTTTTCCAGTTCGCTGTTGCGAGAAATTAGGGATGAGAATGCCTCACGATGGTTTGCTTTTTAACAAAGTGCCGTAAAAGACTTCTATGCCCTGGCGATAAGATTGATATCTCATTAGATCTGACGGTTTATATTTATTCTTATTTCTTTCATTAGATCTCTTTCTCACCGGAACCAAACTATATATATATATATGGGCCGGTTCAGGTGAGAATGCACCTTGGTGAAAGAAATAAGAATAAAATCTAGCCTTTGGATCTGATGCATCGTGCGGCTCAGATTGCATCCTGCACTCAGATTTGAGATAATGCATTTTCAAAGGATTTTGGTGCGTTTCTCTCAAACCATTTTGGTGCACCTAATTTTGATGCAATCCTGACCCTTAGATCTCACAATCTAAGGCATCAGATTCATTCTTATTTTTTTCATAAGATCGCATTCTTACCAGAACCTATACACACACACACACACACACACACACACACACAGATATATATATATGCAATGTCCTTTGCCCATTGTCTTTTAGGTTTTGATAATGAAAAAAAGGTGATAAAAGTTCACCATCATATTATGCATCAAGGCTAAGAATCAGAACTACAACAAGTTCATATTCGTCCATGAAGAAGGGATCAGACTTGAGCATCGGTGGAAGGATTGAGACCAAGACCTTGTTTTCTTGGTTGGGTAGTCTTTTAGGTCTTGGAATGTGTGGTAAAGAGTATGGCATCTCTACTGTTCATTCATTGATAATCCTACCTTCAAAACACCTTTTAGACCAGGTTTTCTTTGGAGAAGTTGTTCTTCTATTCGACTAACCTTTGATTTATTCGAATAAGTCTGGATCTTCTGAGTTGGGTGGAACATGCTAAAGTATTCAACTAAGTCCATGTTTAGTCAACTAAATGGATGTTTTTCTCGCTTCAGGTTTGTTCTAAACTATTCGAATAGTTCTTGGTTTATTCGAAGTCTGACGGTTTCAACCTCCAAACGACTAGTTTTTTGAATGTTTTATCCCTTTCCACTCCCTAGCTTCTATAAACTCCATTGCCTCGTTATTATCATTAGAAGAATACCAAGAACACTTTGAAGAACACATCCTTTGAATATCCAAAGAAATTCTACTCAATTCCCTTCTAATATCCAAGCATGACAATTGTTTTGATTGATATTTTTTGCTTGAGTTTATCCTCATTGCTTGAGTCTTTGAGAGATTTTGTCATATTTTATAGGACTTCATTGAATTTGCAGCAATCTACTCTGTGTTAGGAGAATTATTCCGTTGTGGTTCGTTTTCTTACTTTTGTAAAGGATTTATATTCTTGGTGTTGGGGTTACATCAAGTAGTAGAAATCCTAACGGTTTGTGAAATCAAACATTAGGTGGAAGAAATCCTGAGACTTGTGAAATCAAGTTCTCGATTTGAATTCGGATTGTCAAATTTTGTTAAGTTTTACGGGTTAGTGAAGGCTTGTGCACGTTTGCTTTGGGGACTGGATGTAGGCATTTAGGCCGAACCAATATATATCGTGTGTTCATTATTTTTTATCCTTCACTTAATTTTATTTGTGGTGGGTTAGCTTTGATCGAATATTCTGTCAAGAACGCTTCCACGCGAAAAATCTGTCATTTAGGCAACACATCTATTCACCCCCTCTAGAGGTGTGCAAGGCGTCTAACAGGTATGACGTCGTCACTCAACAACGTAGTTGTCCAACGAGTGTCGGACGTTGGAAGACTACTATATCCCCCCTGCTTTGACGTTTTGGTTTGTTTCGCCTACGACACCCCGTTCTACACCATAGCCCATTTTGGGTGTCTGTTGAATATCTCCCACACTTTGAGATGTTTGAAGAGACATGATGTTGTGCTTGATACTTCTCAAATATCATTCTTAACAAGTCAACGTCACACACATCGCTTGGTTGAGTGAGGACGATATTCTTTATATCTCGACTGACTCGACAAACTTGTTGACTTTCACATTCATGTCGCGGTACTTGAAGGAGATCGCGTCGACAAAGTGTTGAGTGACATTATACCAAAAACCAATCGCGTTTAGCATTTCCTAATTGCAAAACAAATTGAGAAAAAAATAAAAGTGTTTGCGAACAAATTGCACCTCTAATTGAGTATTCAAATCAGGAACATTCACTCGCGTTCGGACCAACGGTTCCTCCTCCATTAGCGTCCACAATTTCTTCGTCGCCTTGTTGGGCGTAACCTCTTGGTATACGACCTTCTCCTTGATTTTTTCGGAGGTTGCAATGTGGTGAGCTTTGCAGGTCAGTGTCGTGTGTGCTGTGTCATCTCACCGTTTGTACTTTTAGTACTCCGTATATATCGAACATGATCTAAAGGGAAATAAAGATGACTATTGGGATTAAAAGCTTTTTCTTCTTTATTTCATTCAACTATTGTTAGACTAAGCACACATTTTATTAAAATATAAAAACCTAAAAACATATGTCAAAACAAAGTTGGAGTAAAAACATGGCAAAATTGACAAGAATACTCCCAGAAATTATAGATTTTACATAAATACTCCCAAATTTGTTTCTTTACATCATTACTCCCACATTATTTTTTTATTTACATCATTGCTCCCAAATTTGGTAGTGAACATTAGTGTTACTTGAATGCGTTTTTTTTGCGCTAAGTGAGCAGTTAAAATGCAGATGTGTATTTTTTTCACTATAATATAACAAATTCACCTCATCATTGCCCTTGTTTCCATCACTTTTTTAAAAAAAATTAGATTTCAAACTTCCTAAATGTTTTTAATGTTTAATATCAAGTGTGTTCATATTAATTTAATTTGAATTTAATAAAAAATGATGAAGAACCCCGTTTAAAAAGACACATCCGAGGAACACTGACGATGAAGCAATCGCGGAGTAATGACGTAAATAACAGACAAATGTGGGAGTAACTATGTAAATAAACAAATTTGGAAGTATTTATGTAAAAACTGAAATTTCTGGGAGTATTCATGTGAATTTTGCCTAAAAACATATGAAAACATATGTTACCTAAAAACATATGTCAAAACATACCATTTTTTACCCTAAAAACATCATTTTTTAGAGCAATAGAATTTAAATGTTATTAATAATTTACTTATTCTGAGGATTAATGAATTCTTATTAGTTACCTCGATTATTATTGTATGCGCTTTAAACAATCTTTGTTTTTGAAAGAAGATGTTGTTTGTAAAAGTTTTTATATACTCCGTAGTATGTTTTTTTAAAATTTATTCGACTTTCTTTGAATTCCAGTTTATTCATTTTGTCACGAAATCAAATTCGGACATCTATTAAATTCGGGAAACATCACTTTTGACACTAAAGAATGACCAATTTTTACGCGTGAACATTACAGACAACTTATTGTTAAAAATTGTGTGAATTTCTGTCATTAAAATAGGGAAATTGGTATTTTTACTCCCCTAATTGATATTAGGACTGCATATAAGTATATGATCTTTTATTAAAAGCTTGTAAAATAGGGTGAAAATATGAATGGGAGGAGTGACAATATGACTCTCCAAATGAAGTGTCAGAAGTAGTGCGGACAAAAAATGATCATCTTGTCTTTGGGCTTGAGTTTTGAGAGGTTTGTTTTTGGTTGGTTTTGCTTAGAGTTATTAATCAGACAAATTATCTTATGTTAGAAGCTCATGATTCACTTTGGTTAGCTTAGGTTGTTAAATCAAATAAGTCTCTAAAAGGGTAGAATCAAAATATTAAACTAGATTCACCAAGGTTCACCTCAATCCAAACAAAGCCTTAGGGTCTGTTTGGTACATGGAATTAACAAAATTGGAAGTTGAAATTTAACGAAATTAATTTGATGGAATTGAGTTCTCCTACTCCAAATTATTTTTGATACTACCAATTCCAAATCCACATATTTTTGTGCTATCTAACACCAAAATTGAAATTGTTTCCAATTCCATAGTTTGAATTCCGTGTACCAAAAGTTAAGGTTCTCTCTATGTAGACTCTATTGCACTACTATGGCAAATGGAATCATACATGTGTTCATTGGAGCAAACATTTTGAAGCTGAATTTGATGGATTTGATATTTAAAAAATCAAATGATTATTTTGAGTTCACGTGCATCTCGATGATAGAGTCGGGCGTCTCTTGGGAACATTTTTTCTACTTCCAACTTAAGGTGTAGTTTGTACACACCCACTCCTCAGACCCTACTTTTTATGGAAATCTACTGGGTTTCTTGTAGGTGTGTGGCCAAGAATGTTATAGCTTATGTCGTTGATCTTAACCCCGGTGTACCCCCAAAACAAGTACTCCGTATAAGAAAATGAAGGGTCCATTTAGAGATTGAAAAAGCTTTTTGGATTCTGAAAAAATTAGGAAACAAACTCACAAAATCACAACACTATCAGTTTTCAAGATCTATATCAGTTCTCAAGATCCATGGTGAACAAGGCAAAATAAAGACAACAACAATATTATGTTCAAATCATCGTTTTGCTAAACGTTAAACCACATGAAAATCACCTTAAATATCAATGATCCCTCCTAGGATAACTTATACTGCTTCGAAGCCGAGGGACTACAGCAGGTGTACCGCGGGTCTGTTCAAGTGCAAAGCTAATCCTCAGAGGACGACCAAGAAATGCCTGGGGGTGAAGAAACTTGGTTCAGAAGTAGTTCTCATGCACTCAAAATTGTAAAGAACTATGAATGAAATGGATATACTCCATATCTATTGACAGCATGGAAAGTAGAGTGGAGCTCACTAACCTTACCATCCATGGCATCTTTTGCACTTCTAGCCTCCTCTTCTTTGGAGAAATATACAAATCCAAAACCTCTTGTTCTGCCTGTGTCTTTGTCATACATTATCCGCACTAACAAATGATGCATACTCATATGTTAGCCACATTACCTCGTAGATGACTATTAAAAAAATTAACAATAACAAAGCCATTAGAATCTCCCAAAAAGTAAAAATCCGTGGAGGGGATGCAAACAAGCCAAACATCGTCCTTACTTGATAGTAGAGAGGATGTTTCCAAGAGACCCCCCGACTCAAATCTCTAGGATCGCATGTTTGAAAAGTAAACACAACAACACAAACAAAGTAAGAACACGAACAAAAGAAGCACTCGTACCAATACTAGCAACGCAAACTCAAAGTACAAAGATAAAACACACGTGCTCAGGCTACAGATTAAAGAAACCTAGAGGTTCCAAACTAAGGCCCAAAGGTCTACCCAACTACACTAATCATGGATCTCCATGTGTTCTTATCTAAAGTCATATATATATCTTCCTAATGTTGTAAAACCTATGTAATCATCTTCTTCCCACTCTAAGTCTACCTCTACCTCTACCCCTTCTCATTCTCACTACCCTAAACCTCTCACTTCTCGTTACTGGGGACTGAGGTTTCTGCATTTCTCCTCCTTGTGTGCTCAAACCAGCTCGGTCGAAACTGAAGCTTCAAAATTGAGAAACAAAAATGCCAAGTTTCTCACAATTTTGTCCCAACTTCACACAGACACACATTGTTCTGTGTGAAACCAAAATAGTTGTTTCATCAATGATAAAAGAATCAGCTAGGAATTGCGTCGAACAGATAAAATGCATAACTTTTTTTGTTTTACCATTTACCTTCAGTCACTTGGCCGAACTCAGAAAAGGCGTCCTTTAGTGACTTCTCGTCCACGGACCAGGACAAACCTGTTATGAAAGATCGATAATCGGATGAACAAATTCCAGAAAGCAGATTTACGGATGAGCGAGAGGATTACCGGCAACGAAGAGTTTGTCGTTTGCCGGAGGGGAAGAGGCGGCGGTAGCTTCCGGAGAGCAATAAAGGCGGAGGCCATGGTATATTGGCGCCGGAGGAGAAGGAAGGCCGGAGGCCACGACGAGTCTTCTCGTAAATCCAACGAAATAGTCCTTCATAGCCGATCAAGCTTTCCGGCTAATTGATTTTCCTTGAGTGCCTTTAGAAAAAAACTTGTTTTTATGGTTTAATTTTAACTTTTTTTATTTTAACTTACACTATTAAAGTTTATGGAGAAAGACCAATGTAGTACTGAAACATTGAAAATATACCAAAATAAGACTTTCATGTTTTTATTTATGAAATATGATTTACATTACCAAACATGGTCATTTACATTGCCAAAAAAGTACAGTAATGTGCACATGTATAGTGTGACATTACCACAGTCCAAGTTTATTTCGAGAAAAAAACATGAAAATCCGATTTTGGTACTTTTCTCTATGTTTAGACCTATTTAGAGTGATTTCTATAAAGTTTATCCAAAAGTTTTAATGATAATAAAATGTTGTCTTCAAATAAGGGCATAATTATCTCAGCTAACTATAAGACCACGGGCAATGACAAGTAACGAAATGGAATGCCACACGTTGACATGACACATTTTAACCAATAAAAGACAATCCAATCAGCGTGTGGCAAGTGAGTGGAGTGGCATCTCGTGCAGTGGCAAGTCATTGTTTTTGTCAATTTTATGATTTTTAATGCATTTTAATTATTAAAAATTATTTCATTTATCTTTTTTTAAATAGATTTACTCTTTTTTAAAAAAATTATTTTTTCTACAAAAAAAAAAAATAAAATAAAAAAAAAATCGGGAAGATGCCTCGCGCCTCACACACTTGGCGTGGAGGAAGGCTGAAGCCACGCGAGGCAATTTGCGGAACATGCTGATGTGGCGTAGCGAGGCGAGGAAATGCCTCGCCGCTGTGCATGCTCTAACCACAACCAAATATCAACATAATAATCGTTTTTTGAGCTCTAATAACTCTATTATGGAGTACAATTATAATTACTCAAACGTATTTTTCTCAAGTTATAGAAACATCGAAAGTTATCACCTCCAATGGAGATTAAACTCGTGACCTCCCATTTAAAACAATCATCTTAGTGTAATAGAACCACAAGATCTTTAGCATCAACACACTACTACTCTCTCTGTCTTAATTTATATTATCTTTTTAGATTTACGATATTTGGCCAAAATTATTTTCAAATTATTTTATATGAAAAATGGTGCAGAATTAAAAAAATAAAAATTATATGTTAAAACACTATATCAAAGGATATACAAAACGAGTGACGACAAGATTATATTATTTTAACAAATGACTAATGAAAAAAAAGAAAAAGTGATTGGAATTTGACTCTTTGAATAGTATACAGAAAATTTAATTTGGTGGCTATTCACCTCTATTCCTCCCCCATTAGTGATGCTTTTAGACATCTATCTTGTCCCTTAAATCTAGCGCCTAAAGATCATCAACACTTCAGTATTTGAGCCCTAATTCCTGGGTGAAGATGGAGATGCCAAACTCCCTAAGAATAGCTCATACAAACGCCCAACAAGGGCCTCACAAGCTTCAAGCACACAGTTAATGGAGATTGTTGAAAACTATAGCCATATATAAACACAAATCAATGGCAGACAGAAGAAGAACATATCACCGGGAGAAACACAGCAACGGTTCAATAAAACCCCTTCTTATAAACTCCAAGCAGTGCCATACAAGATGAAAAAAGGGTATCATGTCAAAATGAGACCCAAACAAGATTCACAAACTACAAGATGATAAGGAATCACAAATGGCATAATAAACAAAGACTATAGCAGCAGACCAATCAAAACAGTAAAGACCTTGAAACCATGATATAGAGAGAGTCGAGAGATGGGCACAACATCATCGTATTTATTTGGCCATCATGACCTTGACAAACTCTTCATAGTTGATTTGTCCATCTCCATCCACATCAGCCTCTCTGATCATCTCATCGACTTCCTCATCAGTCAGCTTCTCCCCCAGGTTCGTCATCACGTGACGCAGCTCGGCAGCAGAAATGAAACCGTTCTGATCCTTGTCGAAAACACGGAACGCCTCCTTCAGCTCTTCCTCTGAATCAGTGTCCTTCATTTTCCTGGCCATGAGGTTCAAGAACTCCGGGAAGTCGATGGTCCCATTGCCATCGGCATCCACCTCATTGATCATGTCCTGCAGCTCCGCCTCCGTAGGGTTCTGCCCTAACGATCTCATCACAGTTCCCAGCTCTTTGGTGGTGATGCAACCTATGAACACCAATCATACCCACAAAATTAACTGCACTTCCCACATTTAGACATTCTCAAAGGTTTTGTAATAACTCGGGTTTCCATCCTAGAAATATCAACCCGAGTGTATGCAGGTTTGTTACTTTATATTAAGCCAGTCTTGGACACTCTTCCACACATCAAAAACTATAACTGGTATGAAATCAATAATCAAAGAAAAGCAACAAGAAATCCAGTAAAAATCCCACAAAGAGCAGGGCATTAGGACAATTGTGTGGACACAAATCTTATCCCTAATCGGAAGCAGAGAGACTATTTCCATGACCCAGCTCAGAAACAGGAGAGCACCAAATAATTGAAGTAAAGCAACACCTGTATATTTACGGGTTCAAGTCATATAGATCTAGTTTGAAGCTAAATCACAAAAATTAAGAATGGAGTAGTACAGATCAATCACATTCAAAGATTAGATCATTAGATGCAACTCATGCAATCGGCAACACGAACGATCTTCAAAATCACAGAGCGATTTTGTGATTCATTGCATTTTCCAACAACAACAAAAATCAAATTGCACAGGGGAGAATCACGATCGAACATAAAGAATAAAAGGAAAATTCCAACTACGGACCAGATCTGGCCAAGGAACGAAAAGAGCAGATGAAAACGAAGAGTTTAAATACACGAAATCAAAAATTCAGGGGAAAAAAATGGAGGCGAGGGATCGCACCATCGCCATCCTTGTCGAAAAGGCTGAATGCCTCCTTGAACTCAGAGATCTGGTCGTCAGTCAACTGATCCGCCATTTCTTCTTCTCCAAGCGCTCAACGATCACAAGATTCTCTTCAGTTTCCTGATTTGGACGGAAAGTGAAGAAGACGATGGGGAATTGGGGGATGATTCTTGTAAACAAGATGGGGTCGGATTTGTAGGATTCAAAACAGCGTTATTTGTTTACGGAGATGCATCAATTCAAACCACTTTATTTATTTACGAAAAGAAAATTGCAAAAAGAACGCCATAATTATGGCTCCCTTTGCAAAAATAGTTAATATAACGACTGGAAATTGAACAAGTAACCCCCCATATATCCTAAAATAAACTTTTTGTTTTGACTTTCATGTTTCTTTTAAAAAGTATTTTCAAATAAAATTATACTCTCTACTATTTTGAAATTCTATCATGAATTTTTTATTTAGAAATAAGATTATTTTGGTATAAAAATATAAAAGATCATTTAAGAATATGTGTCTAAAAAAATTGGTAGTTGTTAGTAATATAGAGGAAAGAACAATAATCTAAATCACACAATACTTTAATAAAGAAAAATAAGAAATTTATTAGGACGGAATAATAAAGTATAAAATTACTAAAGTGGTAGATAAGAAATAAGAAATCATCCACCATAAGAGTAAAACATACTTCCTCCGTTCTTTAAAACAGTCTCTCTTTCATTTTTTTCCTTTTCCCAAAAACACTTTCTTTTTTGTAAAAAATGGCTAATATATCTAAATTAAGTTTTTACAATATACTCCATTCAATTTGCATTGATATAATAAGTCATTTAAATGATTTTTCTCTCTCTTTTTCTTCGATAATAAGAGTATAATTAGGAGGTCAAACTATGAAATTAAGGCGGGGGTGTATTCAATTTAGATTTTATAAGATTCTGATAGATTGTTTAGATATTGTGAATTCTGTAAAATCAATGAATTATTTAGAGTTTATGCAGAGTTAGATAGATTCGATTGTATTTTATCAAGAGATTTCATTAGATTCTAGTAGATTATTTATAATCATGGATTGTTTATTCTTTTAAAAATTCAAACGTTACGTTAACACTAATTATATTTTTGAAATTGATCAAAAACTTAAATTAAAAAATAATAAAAAATAATAAAAATAAATTATTTTTTAAACATTATTATCATTATTATAAATTTATTAGCATGGAATAAATTTGTTTTTAAACTCAAAGAATTATTGTTTCTAAACTATTTTTCATATATGAAAAATTTTATCAATAAAAATAAAAGACAACACAAATGATAGGAGACATTACCTATAAATTCAAAGAAAAATTAAAAATAATATAGCTCTCTCTCTGTCACTACTTCTTTTATTTATTGATTACCAAGGAAAAAACATAATTTCTTTTAAATAAGAACAAAGTATACTTAACAAGCAAATATATTTTAGAACAACTTAATAAACCACAAATAAACCACAAGAAGATATTAAACCAAATATATTTTAGAACAACTTAATAAACCACAAATACCCAAAAACAATTTAATAAACAAGAGTACTCTTAACTCAACAAAAATAAAGTCAAATAAAACATTTAAAATAAAGTCACAAAATCCTTTCACTCATCGTAATATATCTTCTCATTTTATCATCTCATCTTGTGGTGTATCCAACTTAACCCTTTCTTCAGGTGACATCTTCAAGAAGACATCTTTTTTCCTTTGTTATCAAGCAACTCAACTGCCTTAAATTGGGTATCCTCATCTAAGCCCAGGGTATCCTTGATGGCATCCCAAATTGTATATTCTCTCTCTCTTTTTCTTTTCTCTAGCAGACTATAGATCCCTTTGAAACTTGTAGACATTTCGTTTAGCCTTTGCATGTGCCACTTCCTTCATATGTACTTCTATTTCTTTTGGTTTGTGTTATTTTTTGCATGGAAACCTCATGACTTTTAGGAGATGGGAGCAGTGATGTGGAAGAAAAAGGGGAGTCGCTTTGAGGTTGACTTATGAATGCATCATTTTCGAAATCATAATCAAGGTCATCTATATGCACATCTCTCCCTTCTTCCGCATCTATATAATCATAAGTCAAAACAGGAACTGTTTTAGGGAACGGAGGTAGTAGCTCTTATCGCCAAACTAGAAGTGACACTTTTTACCTTCAAAAAAAGACATTGCACTGTTGACATTATTGGCATTGTAATCTAATTTTAGCAATAAAATTAGAAAATCTTATTTTAATTATTCTCCCACAAAAAATGTTTAGAAAAAAGACAATAGGCTATTTGGTGTGGGAGACGGGGAGGTAGTCGGGATTGCACATGTCATTGATAGGGGTGGACACGGTACGGTTCCGGGATGATTCCGGTTCTAGTACCGCCACCCTTAGGAACCGGTACCGTGACCGGACCGAACAGTACCGGT